CAACATTTATAAGCTAATGCTTAGTGATGGAAAAACAGAGTTTCTCATTGTTGGAACATCCAGACAAGTAACAAAGCTAAATATTAATCATATAACAGTTGGAGACTGTCAAGCTCTGTGAGAAATCTGGGTGGGTGGCTTGATTCTCCTTTAAACATGGAGAAGCGCATATCCAACACATGCAAATATGCCTTTCCTATACAATCTTTCTCACATTTGAAGATACTTAGACCGGACCGCACAGAAAGCCTTGTCTATGCATTTATTAGCAATAGGACTGATTATTGTAATGGATTATTATCTGGCTTGCCAGATTCACAAATAATTAAGTTGCAGCAAGTTAAAGGGGAAGTCCACCCTGAAATTAAGTTAGTTTTAATAGGAGTAGAAAAATGAGAGAAACAAGTCAGTGAAAGTTTGAGCAAATTCCGATTAAAAATAAGGAAGTTAGGATTTTTGAAGTTGTGATCAATCAAACACAAATTGGCAACTCTATGACCTATCATGCGAGCTCAACTTCCATTTGCTCAGTACTAAAAAAATCTAAAATTTTCATTTTCCCTCAAGAAAAATTTCAACCATACATGCACCCTAAATATAGTAATTGCAAATATGTTTCTATACTCCCCCTGCAAGGAACAACTATACATGTATATTCCGTTATCAATAACGAAGAAAACATGATTTTATGGAATATTATGCACAAAGCAAATGAAGGAGAGCTCGTATAATAAGTCACAGAGTTGCCAATTTGTATTTGATTGATCACAACTTCAATAATTCATAACTTTCTTATTTTCGTTCAGAATTTTCTCAAACTTTCACTCACCTGATTTTCTTATTATTCTGCCTCTATCGAAACAAACTTATTTTGGGGGTGGACTTTCCCTTTAAGAATGCATGTGCAAGACTTGTGTTCCTTAAACTGTTCCCATGTTACACCTATTTTAATTAAGTTACAGTACATTGGTTGCCAATAAGTCTTGAAGATTGCACTTTCAGTTGCACCACTCCAAAGCCTTGGAATAACCTACCACTAGAAAGTCTCATCTGTTGCTGTCTTCAAAGGTTTGATGAAGCTGTACTTGTTTACAGTTTTGTTTGATTTCTGATTTATTTTTTTTTTTTTTTTTAATTGTGTGTCTGTAAATTTGCACTTTTAGGTGTTTTGTTTTCACCACAGTGCAGTAGAGTATATGTGAAGCTTCCCTATAAAGTAATCTAATTATTATTCATTATATAATGTGCTTTTTTTTCTTGGAACATTTTACACCAAAATAATACTCTCAATCTACACACTGAAGATCTGTTCAATTGATAAACTGCAGTTTATTGTACCTGAATTTTGTTGAATATATGCATTTATGGATGGAATAAACTACTTTAACATGTACCCCCTCCCCCTTTTTTTAAATTGAAATAGTGAAATAAAAATATGGAATGTGACAAAGCTCAGATCCACTAAAGAGGATCTTTACCATATTCACCAAATACCAATATCTATAATTATGACACATAATTAATTGATTTACTTATGATCAATGCTGACAGATAAAACATTACAACATCTAACAAACTCAGGACAGTTATGGTCTTACATGTAAGTCAAAAGAATTCAAGTTTACACAAGTTGGATCAAGATGTGTGGTGTCTATCAAAGGACAAACACATCTATTTTGTTTCTAATGAATACAACGTTGAAATCACATAAAAGAAACACCATTTACACTGCATGAGTAATTCCCTGATTTTGTTCTTTGACATTGAAAACATATGAATGAGTATATATCTCTATTGAAAAATAAACTATAAAAGGTTGTCTCAATTAGTTTATGGGTTAAAAGTTCCATTCTCTATCGTTTATCTTTGAATTCATCATTTTTTGTCAAAAGGCATTTCATGACAAAGTTCAAGGAATCATTAAAGTAAAGATATTCATCCTCATTTACATGTATCTCTATTTGCCATTGCACTAGGTCACAGGCTAAATAGCCCTTTTTAAAATAAAAGATGCCCAAGAAAATATTCAACATGGGGGAATATGTCTGGATATCAAAGGAAACCTCACACTAAGAAATAATATAAATTATTCGGAGAGCTTTATTATATTCTTGCCAAATAATATAGATTCCCAATCAAAGTGTATGAGAGAGGTATAAAGCAAGAATAGTGTACAGTTTCTCAGCACTACATGGGCATTGCCATTTTCCTGATAATGTGACGTACTATGTGAAGTCATTTATCAAGTACTAAATGTATTCAAATTTATGGATGCTTCTTTCCCAGGTGTGTGTGTGGTGATGAAAGCATTTCATTCACCTGCTACTACCATTTGTGTTACAATTATCAGAATGTAAATTGCATAAATAAGTTGATATTCTTCTGGGGTGAATTTTTTGCATGAATCAAATAGATTTGTCAGCTGTTTTTTAAAATATATAACAGGGGAACAATACTCAAATATTTATTTTTAAATAAATGAATTATAATTGTTCCCCGTTATATATTTTTCATCATTTATATAATTTTTAGCTTCTCGGCTATGATTTTCCTTCATTGAAAAGAAAAGATTTTGTTATTGAATTAAAAAGTCTTTACGACTAAAGCTTGTCGCATGATACAAGTACAAGTTCACCTGGTACGTCACATTATCAGGAAAATGTCTGCACCCATGTCATGCTAAATGCAATACATCATGCCAAGAATGTTTTCATTTTATATCTCTTGTACACTTTCGTAAGGAATATATTGTACATCAAAGGGCAGAAAAACTTATTTTGGGGGGGTGAGGTTTCCTTCAAGCTTCTAACTTTCTTATTTATTCCATTCAGATGTTTAATTTTTATATCAGCTCTTGTTAAAGGCAGGGCTGCACTACTTGTAGCTACTTGCACCCTCTACATGTATATAGCCAACAATGCCTAAGTGGTACCTGTTGATCCCCCATGGTCCCCTTCTCCTTACATGTATGTTCATTGAGAACTGATTTGATTAAATAAACCACCTGCCAGTGACCACGCAGGGAGGTCTAATCCCTCCTAGCCAAACTAGTGGAGATAGGCTTTAAAACATTGTCAGTATCATCACCATCATCACCTTAATCACCATCATCACTTCTATCTTAAAACCCTTCTGACCTCCACACCATACATGCAAAATTCATAAAAAACAACTTACTTACCATCTATCTTTGTATGTATTGTCTACATTGTATTATAATGTATATCATCATCACCATCATAATCATCCGCACCATCATCATTACCATCCTTGTCTTCATCTTCTTCATCAATATCAACATCACTGTTATATCAGTTTAATAACTACATGTAATTATTTATATTATTTTTAACATCATCACCATCTCCACTGTACTTAACAACACTTCAACATCATTATCACAAAAGTATTTAAACTTCTTATTTGTAGATTTGTTGTTGTTGTTTGTTGAAATAAAAAGCTTTCATTGAGGGTGTTTTATGTTTCCATCACTTTCCTCCCAAAGCTCCTTTTTAGCTATACAGAGCTACATTGCTGAAAGCAAGTGCACATGTATCTGGGCCCCGTCTTATAAAGAGTTGATATCAATCTTAACTTATTTGCGGTTGTTATCAATAATAGGCATTTCTATAGCGCCGTCTATCTAGAAATTCTATTCCGAGGCGCACTAATTATTACCCCGGCTTTATTAAGCCTAGCTGCCATTACAGCGCTCTAGCATGTCAAGGATGTAACTCCTGTCAGGTACCCATTTACCTCACCTGGGTCGAGTGTGGCAAATTAAGATTAATGCCTTGCCAAAGGACATTAGTGCAGTGTCTGGGATCAAAACCTTTGAATTTCAAGTCAAGTGCTTAAACCACTCGACTATGACTCTTTTACATGTACATAAGAGATAGGGGACTGCAAACTTTGATTTGAATCAATCACAACTCTTTACAAGATGGAGCCCAGGTTTATTATTCATTTTGTTGTTATTATCATGACCATTATCATACTGGTAATCACTTATAACATAAGAAAGCATCTTTTGGGGGAACCGATGTTACATCTGGTCAGCACCATGGTTCCATGGCATGCAAATATCAACAATAAAATAATATATATATATATATATATATATAATATATATATATGTATGGTCCAAGGTCTAAATATCATGTTTACTACATTTATAAAAAGTTGGAATGATTACTTTATAAATTACCCTGAAAAACATTTCACATGTACATATGGTATATCTTTCACACAACTACTCAATAAAAATGTACCAATAAAATGAAATACATACATGATTGTGAGCTATGATTTTTGCAAAGGAGGAAAAAAAAAAAAAAAAAATCTATTTTCTATGTCCACTGAAAGCTTCCATATGTCTTCAAGGGGAAACGAAAAACAAAATAGGGGAGAGAGAATGATATAGAATATTAATGTAAATGCGTGTGAAAGCATTTGTTTGTAGGGTTAGAAGAAAAAAAGCAAACACTTTTAAGACCATAGTTAACATGAAGTACATCTATTGATATATTGCTTATCATATTCTCATATCTATTCACCCAACAAATACAAGAATACATTTCAACATCTTAATAACTTACAATTTGTTTCAATGGTAATACATTTTACAATTGATACATTTAAATTGTATCACTCTTTAAAGAACTGCAAAATATACACTCTGGATTTTAGAGGAACATCATTCAATTTTAGAACTGGTTCTGTAGAGTTAAAGACGAAAGGTCATGATAGCTGCTGAACTGTACTGGCATGACGACGCATTATCGCAAGTACATACGACACATGTGTTTAGAGCAGTTATGAACAAATCAACAAGTAACGTGATTGAAAGACTATTATAATAAATAGGGCATTAGATTTACCATCCAATACTGCTTTCATTTTAATCATATGTTGGACATTCATTTTGAAGCATGCAGCACAAATAGAGGACAAACAAAAAGAAGAAGAAAGAAAAAAGATGGGAAGGGAGATCCACTTACCTGCTATGCTTAGACTTGTGTGATTTTTTCTTCTTCTCTTTTCTTGCTGGTGAGTGACTCTCAGACCTAGTATAAAGGACAAAAGAAATCAAATATCCTTTCTTGATGGCCAACCTTTCTCTATGATACTCAATTTCTATTCTTGGTTTCTCTTTCCATATGTTGTGGTACATTGAAACAAGAGCAAAAACTGTTGATGCATGTTCACTTTAATATGGAAATCCAAAAGAAAATCATCAACATTTGATATAAATTAATGACTCTTGAAAATGTAAGCGAAAACATATACACTGTATACTGCAACAGGAGACAAACTAAATAATAAAATAAAAGACAAAATATGACCAAGTTCATGTACATGGATTATATAGGATTCCAAGGTTTGAGAATTGAAAAAAATAGAAAATTGTACACTTGTAATATTTCACATGATTTCCTCACAAATACTGAAAATAGACAGCTGATTTTTTTTTATTTTCATTTTCAATTTAAGCAACCAATAATGGTAACTGACTCTGTAAGAAAATTTGTTTTAAATAATTCACATGCACTATTACAATTAAACACTTTATACAAGAAACCATATTTCATTCCTAATGTCTCCAAGTACATAGTTGTAATATCTCAGTTCTCCCTGGAGAATATTAAACATGCCCCACTGCACAACCAGGTAATATGATAAAGTGCAAGAGCAAGGGGGACAAGAAAATATGCTAGAGTAATGTAAGCTAGAGTAATGTCATTAAAAAAAAAATCATAAATTGAGAAATATCATTTAGACTAGTCTTGGCAGTCGGTAGTGGTATTTGCATGAAAATGAAACCTCTTTCATCTCTCACAATCGGTCAGTGTACGGCAATTAGTATACAAATAATGAAGCTTATGAGTTCAATAGTGAAAAACATGAATTATTTGTGTTATACAACATCAAAGTTGATCTAATAGAACATTAGTTTTTAAACAAATTATGCTTTGCTCCTTATATTATTATTATTATATTAAAGATAAATTAAAGTTGGCGTCAGGTCTTCTAGATTACATTGAGATTCAGAATTGACTTGAATTGAATTGAATTCAGATTGCCTTCACATCAGATGCACGCAGCTAATATAACGATAATGGGATACGAGCAGAGCAGAGAGGTACGCAGTCTGCATATATCCAAAAATGCATGCGTGTTGAATAGTACTCCAGCGAATAGTACCCAAAATGCATGCCCGTGCAATAGTATATCTATTGAATATCATGTGACCAACAATCCTCCAATCAAACGACAAGAATCTACTTAGGTGTTGTGTAACATCTGATAATACTGCTTGACTAATCTATGCCCATTAGAGAATACTATGACTGGTGTAAATAACTTGAACATTTACAGATACTTATCTGTATCTATATTGTTACGAATATGCAAATTCGATATGTTTGGAATATGCTAATTTTCAGAGGGACTGTATGCTAGAGTTGAGTATAATAAACCACGAATTCAGATCAAAGGTAACCAATCGTCTCAATTTTCTTATTATATAAATATTATTCTAAGTTGTGAGATTGCCCCGACCCAACAATATCTCTTTTCATTTGTAGGCCCGAGTCATGACTTATCCTTTAAACAATAACTGACAATTGTGGATAGGCATAACTGCCAACATTTGGAATTTTCAATTAGTAACATTTAAGTAAAACTGAATATCATGTGTGCAAAGCGCACATCACGAGCGCGAAGCGTGAACTCTCGTTAGCCGGGGTCCAGGGCCCGCTTTAGGGCCCTGGAAGCGCTGGGGTCCTAGATGCTCTCTGGTGCAATCTGAGCCTATTTTAGGGACCATTCCCCATAAAATTCAACCCAAGTTTAAAATGGGTAATTGAGAAATTACAAAAATGAGTAATGAGAAAAACACAGGTTTACCTGCCTTCCCTGGCACTTGACTTATTGACGAACACCACTTACATAGATCTACTCTCCCATTCTACTCATTCAGAGCTCTGTATGTTGCAGATTTTGCCCTCTTCTTGTCCTCTTTTGTGCTCCATCTTATTCACAATGATCTCCTGTTTTTAACCAACAACGCAACACACGGTATATTCAACTCTAGCGCATGCATGTACTGAATTGCTGTTTGCGTGTACATATTTGTATACCGCGTGTGTATTGAAATACAGCTAGCTGTGTGTTAAGCGAATGGTTCTCCGCTCTTATTCGAGTGCGGTATTCCATACGCTATTCAATGCATCGCACGCAAGTTAAGTTCGTAGCTGTTGCTAGAATCGGTGAGCTGCAGATGTCGAGTGCGTAGGTGCATAGGTATTTTGTACGAGGTTGCAGATTTTAATTTTGTACATGTTCTATGTGATTCGGCGAGATTTTTGTCAAACGTGGTGGGTTTTCGAGAGATTTCGAAATCGATATTGAAATGAGTCAAATTTGTAACAAGTATTCGTAATTTCGTAACAATTAGAATTTTTTCGTAACAGTTGGCAGCTATGGATAGGGGGTGGGTAGTAGAGGGCGTGAAGGGGATCCCTTAATTGAGGTCTGTCCATTAGTCCAAGTTTGATCTTTTAACATATTGATAAAAATATAATTAACAAGGAAATTGCTGTTGCCCTCTCCCCTTACTTATCATAACCTTGAATTTGCCATCAAACATTCTATGAGAAATCATCCCATCTCTTGAGCTAAGATTATTAGACAGGGCTGTATAATCACCGGCTTCTGTGTCCACTTTTCTTTTTCTTCTTTTTAGGAGGAGGGGATGGTGATGGGCTTGGGTCTCTTAAAATTCTGTAATAAAAGAGAAGAAATATAGGGGGGAGATAAACAAGACATCCATGGTTCAGGAAAATGACCTTGAAAAAATTATGAAGGAGACTGTCCCATATTATACAAGCAACAATAGTAATGGTTTATGAATGATACACGATACACATCAAATTGAGAGTTGGGTCTCAAAGTCAAACTTTGTTTCAAAAATATTGATTGAAGGAAGATATTATAATTGTTAAATAAATATTACATAAATAGTAAAGGAGTTATTGAATTTCTTCTTTCCTTTAAAAAAAACTATCTATAGGCTTCCTATCCCTGGATCAAAATGATATAGCACATAAAAGAGAAAATTGGTTTCTGATGACAACAGTCCTGTTTATTATGCTGACAGCAATGATGATGTCTCCTTTTTTTCACCTGAGTGGGTATAAATGTATTTCTTTGCAGATGAGTAATTCCTCTACCAGGTATTAGTAGCTGAAGAGTGATACCTTAAAAAAAGGGCCCCAACCCATCAAATTGATTTCAAAACCACGACCTCTCCATTCCAAGATTTCCACCATAACTGCCACGAGCCTCATATAAATATCACTATCTCTATTACCTCAAAGGGTCACACATTATACTTCAACGGTTCATACAAAACATACAGAATCAATAGCTATGCTAAGAAAAGGTATTACATTTTCATACTATGTCTAATGTTTCCCTTTAAAGAGAAGGTTGAGGTCTAGTTTGGAAGAGTATCACAGAAATAATGTCCCCTGAATAGGATTGCTCTTCAGATGCCACCATATTCGAAATATGACGAGAAATAGCTAAAAAAAGTTGGACCAATCTTCCCAGTCATATATGTGTGTAGTCCCATATACACATTTCTGTGGGCAGTACCCATGACTTTTTTAGCAAGATTGAGTCAATTTCTTATCATTTCAATGATTCTAAATGGGTTATTAATTTTTTTGACCACTTTATCTTTAGAACTAACTTACTCATATTTCTTCTCTGCCATAGCCTTTGCTTCTGCTTCCTTAGCCCTTCTCTCTGGGTCAAATGAGCTGCCATCAACGTAACCATCCTTGATACCAAAAGCTTCTCTTAGTTTAGCATTCTGTTTCTCTTTAGCTTCTGCAATCTCATGTGTGCCTGTCAAACTATCAAAAATAAAAACAAGCATATCTTTATAATTATGAAGAGTTTAATTTCAAAAGGAACTAAATCAATTTTTGTAACTTCAGAGAAAAAAGAAATTGTTTATCAGATTCCGTACCGGGGTCCATGGAAAAGCGATATTAGAAGTTGTATTTTTTCATAATTGCTCCCAAAATTTAGGTTGAAAATTTATTTTGTTGAAAGACGGGTACTTAAAGGTACTATGTCCCATTTGCAGGCCAAAAAAATGAAAAAGTTAAATTCCAACTGCATTTGAAAGATAATACTAATTTAGAACTTCCCTAAAAAAGGTGGGGCTTGAAAATGTCTTCAAGTGGGAAAATAACGACTATTAGTTGTCAAATCGACTTTAGGGCTATAGAGCCCAAAAGTAATAGTCTTGATTTTCAGACAATTGTACCGAATGGTCAAACGTTTTATGCTGCGCAAAGATTCAATCAGTTTAATCTTGGCCATCACAAGCAGTGGGTTATTGATGTAGACAAATGCTCATGTACCCTTTACAACTCTTTTCATGTATGTTATTACCAAAGAAGAAAAAAAGCCAGTCAGTCACTCAATAGTGTCTGACAGTGAAGTCTAGCAAGTAAACGGGTTTCCTTGCATAATTTGAATATGAGGACACTGCTAACGTTTAAATTTCACAGATAGGACATACATGACATATTCATAATTCCAGCAAAGTTCTACAGCATTTGAGGTTGGCTGCAAAAGGGACATAGTACCTTTAAGTGAACAATGTTCTGATATTAAGAACTCAATTTTCATCAAAAGTGGATTTAGCTCTTTTTGGAATTAAGCTCTTCATATGCAAATTTTATGATTCAATCAACTTTTTTAGTGTTATAAGTTGGGAGTTAAAATACTTCTTGGCAGCGTATTGGGGGCACACAATTTCGACAGTAAAGTGGGCTTTTCATTTAACTGAAAACAGGATGGTTGGATTGAGATATAAGGTAAAATGTACTATTTGAAGCTGAGATGTGTTTGGCCCGTACAAGAGCAAGCTCATGCTTCCATAATAACCTGAATTTGCATCTAAACAAAGGTGTAATTTTCAGTTCTTATAGCAGGCAAGTTCCTTTCTTTTATCATCTACATGCCGATATGTGACCCGGTACCCCCAAAACCACCAAGAAGTCACCATTAATTATTTCTAGTTCAGGTCTAGTTCTAAAATAGTAGATTATCAGTTTTAAAAAGTAATTATAAGTCAGATTATCTCTCCTGCCATTGACCACATAAACAAGTAAACATGCTTCAACTTGTACACCGTGGAATGTGTTTAGCTAATTAGACTTACGTTGCCCTCTCAGGCGTTGCTTTGCCTGCTAAGTCAGAGATTCCTTCCTTCTCAAATAACATTTTCCGGAAAGCGATCACTTTCTTTTCGATCTCCTCCTTGCTGTACGTTCTGAAAGATAATAAATAAATACATTTACATCAATAATACAAATTTATATCAAATAAAATTAAATCAATAATATGACCATCACATTTGTATCTTTCTGCCCTCTCCACTATTCATATGTTTCAATTGATCATATACACCTGTACTGCTTATAAAAGAAATGCTATCCACCACTATTTTTTCTTAAAGGGCAAGTCCACACCAAAAATAACTTACTTTCAATAGATGCAGAAAAATCAGACAAACCGATCAAAACAAGTTTGAGCAAAATCAGATAACTAATAAGAAAGTTATGAATTTTTAATGACATGAAAAACTCTGAAAATCACGAGACAAATTGGCAACTCACTTATGAGTCGTGTCACGTCATTGCCTAACTATGTTGTATGGTCGAACCGATTTCATTCTCATACAACTAAGCTGCAAAAAATTCAAAAGAGGGCCGCAAGAATAATATTGAACAAGACATATGACACACCGTCGGCTGATTTGTTCACAAGTCTTAAATGGATGACACTAGACAAGCGGTTTGAGTTAAGTCGCGTTATGATGATATATAAATGCGTTCATAACTTAGCACCTTCTTACCTTCAGGTAGGCTTAATCAATCCTAATGATGTACATGATCATCATACAAGGCAAATAGACAGTGGATGTTTACGTGTGCCTAGATTTCACACTGATTGTTATAAGTGTAGCCCAATTGTTTCTTCCATATTTGAATGGAATAAGCTAGATAATTCATTGAGAACGGCTTCCTCTGTCAATTCATTTAAGAGATTGTTTAAACAAAGTTGTAATTTGTGAATGGCTCAGCCGTACATACACTACGTGCATGTTCTGTAATATTTACATGACTTATTCACATAATTGCGACTTAATTAATATTTTCCTATTGACATTACTGTTTACTAGGTTAATGATTATATTTATTTTGCAAACGAGTATTATTTTTGTAACTGTTCTGTATAAATGTTATAAACGATGTAAATATGTTCATTCAGGGCCCCATGGAAGACCACTACTTGTTGGTGAATGGGCTACCCTGTCAAAATATTAGAAATAAATAAATAAAAAAAAACTATCCAGAGATGCCAACCTTATAGGATGGCTGTCAGTAACATTTACCATATTTGTCCGTAACAAATGGGGGTCTTTCCGGAACGCAAGACACTGCAGCATAATTTTCGCGCAAAATGTACACAAACACCCAATCACTCTTACTGCATTTCGAACCTACCATTTTTAAGTCCAAAATAAAGATGAGCATAAAAACGTTTTTTAAAATCTGTTTCCTGTCAAAGGATCTACTCCTCGGGTACTCGCTCTTTTGAGTGAATCCATGATAATATTCAGGAAGAAAACACCTCGTTCAAGCGTCGAATGGCAAATTCGAATCCACAGTCAAATGGCAGAACTTGTATCCTACACACGCACACGTACACTCACCAGTACCACAGACACACCAGCCCAGGCCGCTAGGCCCGGCGTTCATGAACAAGAACACACCGCATACCGCACTTGCAATGCGCCCACTGAATCACCGAAGTGTTTGCTACTATACTTTGAATGGGTATTGCGGGTGCCGCGCGCACGATCATCTACCACCATGCTCCCCCAAAAAACACACGACCACACGTAGCATACTAGTATAAAAACAGTAATAACGGCGGCCGTGTTGTTTCAGATTTAAACAAGATGACGGCGGACAGACCATGTGCGCGAAAGTGCCTATCCATTGTAGTCAAATTCAGTGAACTTATGAGTAAATGCGTGCGACATGCAGCGCTGTGTGCGGAGGCTATGTGATAAGGCGGCATTGGCTATAATGTATTTTTATTTATCGTTTCCCCGTAACCTTTTGATTGTTTACCGTAACGCCGTAACAAGAGCATTAAAACCGTAACAAATACGGCGAAACCGGAACAGTTGGCATCTCTGAACTACTGTATCCAGCAATTGTTTCCTTTATATTGATAATATAAATTTCTTATTTTACCCCTAAGAATCTTATTTCTTCACACCAGCATCCAAGTTAAATTGAGTATATGTTTTTGCGTGGATGCACTATAAATTAAATCATGTAAAATTTGAATTTAAACTATTTATATCAAAATCAATAATTATGAACAAACAATATTCAGAAAATTATCAAACGTTTCAATTCATCAAAGTTCATGAAAGATTTTGTGAAATGTCATGCATGCAATATGATACAAATCATATAACCTGGGCAAAGGCATGGGGAAATCAAGTTTTTGGGGATAAAAAGGGAAATTAATGATTAAAATACATACCGGTAAAGCAATTGATAAATAGTGAGTCTGAGGACACAACGTCACAAATTAAACCAAATTGGCAATTTGAGTAGTAATTTCTATTGTTCCATAGTTTTACATACTTTTAAAAAAAATAATACTTTCTTACATGTATTACCGGTAGTGATACGATTTTTGCTCAAAGTTTTTTTAATCGGTTTGTCTGATTTTTCTGCTTATATTGAAAATAAGATATTTTTGGAGTGGACTTGCCCAGAGCTGCCGATCTCCAGAACAGAAAATCAGTAATTTTGGGAATAAATCAATAATTTCCTATGTGGTGCTATAAATCTTTAAAAAAATGGTATGCCAACACTAGGCGGACGCATGCGCGAATGATTATCTGAAATTTTTGGTGATTTTACTCGCACAAAGTTGCTAAATATTGATTTTCAGGTCATTACAACACATCAGTTTTCCATGAAAAATTGGCTTCTATTGACAGAATACTTGATACTTTTCCATCCTTGTCAGCGAGTGTTAAATGGCCGCCATACTGCACAGCACTCAATACGATAATTCATATTTACGCCCCCAAAACACCCTAAAACACCCCAAAACTCGTTTATTCCATACCGATTCCAGGAAATCCGTACTACACTGTAGTTGGCAGCTCTGCTTCTACAGTAGTCTCTTTTAGTCTTTCCCAGTTCACACCAATGTGTATTTTCCTCTATACTCTGTATGCATGCATGAGACATACATGTAATATCTTGCAAAAATTATCCTAATTTAATCATTTGCTATCGGCAGTACAATTTCATAATGTTACCCTGAACCTACCCTTGTTCCTCCATAACCTCCTTCATCTCTGTACACTTGAGTTCTACTTGTCGCTTTCTCTTATGAGCAAGGATCTCCTGGTTTGGAGGTCTGTAGAGGAGGGCCTCAGCCTTCTGTATTTCTTCCTCAGACTTGTAGTCCACCTTCTGCTTCTGGTTGCGGACCAAGGCAAAGTTTCGCTGGACATAGCCATTGGTACCGCTACCACGGGCCGTCGATAGACCAACCCCATTATACATGGTGCCTCAGATAGCTCAGATGCTAAAGCATAGAGAAAAGGTTTCAAAAAAAAATTATTTGCAAAGTATTGTACTGAAAGTGATTCTACAAATAATAATACTACCCAAATTGTTCCTAAACAGGTAATATCAATTGAATTCTGGCACACTTTTTGTCAGGTTTTATTCTATACTTCCCTTCTTGGATATATACAGTACATCAAAGGTTGGGAAAGAAAGCAACGGATATCTTTTCAAGATATCAGAAGGCGTTTTGGCTATGATTGGTTAAGACAGATACTCATAGCCAAAACGCCTTCTGATATCTTGAAAAGATATCCGTTGCTTTCTTTCCCAACCTTTGCAATATGTATTGCTGAATTCCTAGTCAACGCATGATTTGCCTGTGTAAATAGACAAGGGAGGTGTCAATTCTCGCTACCCTAAATAGGTACGAAAATCTCGAAATTCGCGAGACGAGGTAATTTTCACTCTCTCGGGTCGTCACTACAACTTCCGGTATAGAGTCCCATCCCGCTGGCGCTAGCGCCTGTGTTCGCTGTGCAGAGTTTTCACGCACGCTAAAATCGATGCCAATCAGTGTAATTTGTACAGATTATAATATGCAATGGAAAGCTTCGGGCAGAATTAGTGACTTTAGCACAAAAGGCCGTTAAACTCTACCATGAAAGAGAGGGTTGTGATCACGAACGCCTGTACAGGAAGCTGTGATGTCGAAAAGCTATCCCATAATGCAATGCGCTTTTCAGGATTTTCCCCGGATCTCGGCAGAATCGCTATTTGGGGTAGCGAGAATTAACCTAACCTTCCCCTTGATTAAATCTATGTTGATAATACCGTTATAAATTAGATTTTTGTTTCAGAACTTGCATGTACACAGTATAATGATTTGTTAGAAAGGCCTCACTAATTCAATTTGGAAAATATGTGTTACAGTGTACACAAAGAGAAAACTAAAATGTAAATGTGATACTCTTTTTAAAAGATCTTGTAAATGAAGAAAAATGATACATTTAACTAAATCAACAACAAAAATAACAAAACATAATGTAAGTACACTACATTCATCAGGCCTTAAATTTCGTCATTTTTAGGGCAAGGCCAGTTTGGCCTCGAGTACCTCATATTTTTAAGGGCACCAAGGCCAAAATATTTTTACAAAAAGGGCATCGAGGCCAAAATATTTTACAAAAAGGGCATCAAGTATGAGGCCAAAAAAATTGATTCTATTTTTGTTAGATGTCATGTGTATTTTATGAAACTTGTGCGGGATCAATTTCCCATGACTTTTAGCACCAGCTTCTTCACAGAATGTATAGAGGTCTACGGTACATACAAACAAGGCGGCGGCCCGCAAGCCTTAGATTTAGCAGCCAGGAGCAAGGGGCAATTTTTTTTTTAAGTTGCCCTTTGACACGGGAATTTACCAGAGCAAGGGGCAATTTTCCAAAAACAGATAGGCCCCTTATCTAATCATAAGTTCAAAGAGAGTCTACAAATGTTAATTTCATAATGTGAATAGATCGAACGATCAATTTAATAACTTTTTAATCTTAACAATATGAACAGGAAAGATTGATTAAGAACTTAAAACTTGCACATTAAACAGTATTTTAAAGTAACTAAAAATATTGATGAACAAATGAATAGATAAATTGTCAATTTCACAAACATCGAAAGTCAGAAGGACTTGGCAAGTTTACCGGGCCGGGTTTCCCAAATCAAAATCGCACCTCACACACAAACCTTCCGCCACTCTCTCGGTAGTAGGAGCAAATTTGAAGAAATTATCTTTTTAACTGTTGTATACAAAGGTCTAGATAGGCCTAACTAATGAAATAAGATGTAAAAATGTCCTTATAGACATTCGACAGCTGAAAGTGACACGCTCAGCTCAGTTGCGTAACGTGCATTCACGAAACCAAAATCGTTCCTCGCACACACACTCTCGCCACTTTTGGTGGGAAGCTGTCGGGCTGGAAGTTTGCCAGCGAAACCGATGCACCCTCGGAGATTCGCAGCGCGTAATTTTATCGGGACTCGAAACGTTCGTCTTGGGAAGCTGGCGGGGTAGCTTTTTGAAGCGAGGTCGGCTGGTGGCAAAATGAGAGTAACTACGATCGAGAACATCGTAGGTGTTCTTAACTTATTAATAAGATAATTCTAAATTCTATTTGAGATAAAATAATAAACTAGACCTACAAACAAACCTCGACAGATCTCTAATGACTATTTGAATGCTTGTTTATTTCTCCATTTGACGATTTGTTTTCTTGATCCTGGCCTTCGATTTGTACGTACGTACGTGCGTGCGTCAATAGCATGCAGTACCATATCATGCGATCGGCGCGCTAGCGCATTGCCTATATAATAACAAAGGACGCATTTTCACGGCACTTGCGCCTGATTAAAGCACTATATACGAAGCTAGAAGAGAGCTCGTGGGCGGCAGACTGTTCGTGATTCGTGTATTTTTACTGTTCTAATAATTTATGGGCGCATTTTCACGGAAAACATTTGCGCCTTGCCGTCTACTGGTCTAGTTTTAGATGATTATGGGCGCAATTGGTGGTTTTATGTGCGCAAATTAAAAAAAAAAAGGGCACGTCCAGTTGGAAAAAAAGGCACGTCGGCCAGTTTGAAAAAAAAGGGCACGGCCTTTTTGGCCGTGAATTTATCTTTTTTTGGGAGGGCACCGCGGCCAGTCATAGGGGCATCGACGGCCTGGCCGTCGATGGCCGTCGATTAATTTAAGGCCTGATTCATGATAAGCAAGCCTTGTCAAATCAGATTTTATTCAAATTATTACAAAAAGACAAACATCTTCTCCATGTACATGTACATGTATGTACACATACAGTATGGAAGAGAGCATCACAGAATACAACTGACCCTCACTCATACTGGATCAATACTGACTGGAATGAGTGGAGTGGGGATGCATGTAATTCAGCACAGAAAGTATTCACTGATAACGCTCCTTATTGATTTTTTTGTTTCCTGCCTGTTTCCCTATTGCCCAAACAAAAGATGTTGGAAGGCTGAAACTTGTGCAGGGTTACAAAGACAACATTTAAATTTTGAATATCAAGCCAGAGTCAAAACGTTTAACCAACAGTTAAACGACCACATTCATCAAAACCGCTTAGCTTTTCTCGCCTTGTTCAACCGTTATTTTTGTGCAATTTGTTACATGCATGTTGTTTTTGTTTTTATCCTTAACATTTTGTTATATCTTCATCAAGGCATCAGCACTGATTAGCGCATTGACGCCGAATACTTTCCCCGTTTCCATTTTTAGATACAGTTTGTTAGTCATGCACAAGTCTTATTTTTGTTTTGTCCTTAGTAATATTATTATTATTTGGATGGGCACCCTGACGCCGATCAGTTTATTATTGCTGATTCATTTCCGTTTCATTTTACAGTTTATTTTAATGCAGTTTGTTAGTGTCAAATGAATCTTGTTATGAAACTAATTATTATTTTTGGATCTCTCCGTTATCAGCTTAGATGTCATGCCACTAACTGATATTTTCGGTTTTCCGGATCTGCAACAAAGTCTCAAAACTTATTATCATTTTTGGATCTACGTATCTCTCACGATGTCTCACCAATACATTATTATTTTTGGATCTCGGTACGGGCTACGATGTCTCACCAATAATAATTATTTTAAGATCTCTGTATCGGCTACGATGTCTCGCCAATAATAATTGTTTTTAGATCTCCATATCGGCAACCGAGTCTCGCCACTAGGCCTGAGTCAAAACGATTCCCCGCCCAGTCCCCGAACGTCACATCGAAACCCGGGTTTGAATGTTCGAGTTTCGGGTTTTACAAAATTAAATTTGACACTGATATTTTGAAATATAGAACTAAAAATATGCAATTCACAAACTTATATTTCAATATAATCAAATAAATATGCTTTAGAAATAAATGGATATTGTTTCAGTTGACGGTAGGTGTTTTTATCGCTCTAAAATTGAGGCTGCAAGAAAGGAATCACGCTTCGTGGTACCGATCGTGTGCGTTCAGAAACGGAATGGAAATAGATCTACGGCCCACTGAAGACAAAGCAAGAAAGTACCACACACAAGACTAAAATGTTGATCAGACTATTACAATTAAATCGTAATACTAAAGGCATCAATTTAATTGTCAAAATATATCCACAACATAATGGTTTACCCTTGATAGTTTGATGAAGGAAAACAAATTAAAGCTCTTGAAATAACATCAAAGTGCCTTTCGTTCGTTCAAAAAATGCGTGTGTAAAGGCAAGCTGAAGTTACATGTACGAGTCAAGCTTGATATGCATGCATGTTTACATCCATAAACCGTCATCCGACCTGATCAGAACAATAAGCATTGAACCAATAAAAAACCATCACGTAAGACTCTAAGGGACTCTAATTCAACAAAATTACCATAACATATTAATTTGAATTGAGTAATAATACTATAGATATTCATAATATCTTACAGAAATAATGATATTTCATGAGCTAAGTACTCGATATCGAGTTCAGCTAGCTATCATTTTGAAATGAGACGTAATTGTCATGCATGCAGCGCAGTAGCTACATGTAGATGGCAGCATGCAGCAGAGCGGGAAAACAAATTGCGGGCCTTAGACGGATCACGTGATATTTGCGTGCCTTTGATCACGTGATATTTTCCTCTCTGCCGCCATCTGCATGACGTGATGAAAATAGATTGCAGTTTCGCGATTAGTGGTCTAGGTTCAGCTAATATGATCTACCAAAACAAAATCGACCGCGAAAAACTCGACCCCTACGCTCCGTCTCGATCTCTCAACTGCAAAAATGTACGTGTTTTGGCATACTTGCGTGCGACATGGTAAGCCAGGTAAGGTATGCAATATGTTTTTTTTTTACGACCGATTTTTTTTGTGTATACAATTTTACACGGAGATTCGGCGCACGTGTGTGCGCCAACCAAGATATGCACACAATGAATACGAAGCTAGAAGAGAGCGTGCAGCCGCTCGTAATCGTTACAGGGGCGATTTGAGATTATTTCCTTTTTTGATGTCACCCCCGAAATTATATTTTGGGCCTATTTCGGGGGCTGTTTATGGTGTTTCCGGGGCGAATCCGCCCTCCACCCCCGTGTATTTTTTTGGCTGTGAAGGTCTCTGTACAAAGTCAATGTAAAGGAGGGGGTAATCGACCATCACCAGTTTTCGGCCGATCCGTTGGATGCATGGTAAAAAAAAATTTAAATACATAAAATACGCATAACAGCATGTCACATATCCCACACATACCATGCCATGCCAGAGTCACAGAAGAACCACATTTGCAATGGAAAATATATCCTAAAATATCACATTTTAGCGATGTTATCGGCGGTCCCGCTACCTGAATCTGAAAAACCGAGTATCTTACTCGTGTCTGTAAGAAATATGGGTACCGTAAAATGAGCTTTATTTCAAGTATTTTTCAGATTTAGAGCCCGATTTTGTGTTAGTCGCAAGCTCAAAAGTATTTCACCGCATATATTAAATCAATGCAGCCGGACACTGCAACGCGCACACGATATCTCTGTCTAATTCAGATTCCAATTTCCGATCACCGCAGTACTAGTTTTCGGCCTGGAGAGCTCCGGGGAGCTCCAGGGAGCTCCGGCATGGGCTACCTGCTCCGCCCGCTAGTGATATAGATCAGCGCGGAAACGCACGGCGCGTGCGCGCTTCCTATTGACTTTGTACATGCGGCCTAAAACTTGATCGCTATGCCGATAACTGCCTCCGAAACAGTGAAAATTGAAATGAATATTGTCATGGCAATTCGTGATTTTTTTCTGGGATTCTTTTTTTGTTTAAATAATAATAATATTTGCTTCATGATTTGAACAAGAAATGATAATAAAAAGGAAGTAAAGGGTCCAAAAAATAGGATTTTGTCTTAAGTGTAGAGTGTCTGAACGATTTTTCAATTTTCAATTTGGGATTATTTTTCACCATTTTTGTTTGATTTTTTAATAAAAAATGTTATCAGAATAATACATTTCAAATTTCAAAGCTCACCGATGTTTCTATCAAAAGATAGCCTACAGCCCCTCCAAAACGCTGCAATATTCATATCAATTTGGCCAGAATCGAAGAAAAAGACGTACATGCAGAGTTATGTTGTTATGCTAAATTTAGCCAAACAGCTGTATTGCGCAATATGCAAGCGTATGCATAGCGTACGCATGTTATGCGCAACTTGCAGCTTGAGCCACGTTGTCTTCGCGACATGTGCCATTGACTAGAATGGCTAGCCATTCGCACAATAAACCCGGAAGTGAATACTATCCATACTTTCATTCGGGTTTTGTTCTTACGCGGAGATGTGTTACGCGATGTAACCATGGTTTGGACTGAGCGGAGCGCATGCCTCTCTAATTAGCTGACCCAACAAATAGGGGGAAGGGTATTTTTAAACTGTAATCCTTTGTGATCCCTGGGGACTAGCGAAAAAATAAGCGCATAGATATAATCCTCAGGACTGGGACTACTTATTGATCAGGGCTGCATATCTCAAAAGTGTCAAACCTCAAAGTTAGCCAGGACAAAGATATTTTTAGAATTCCGAGATGCAGCCCCTTTGGAAATATGGGGATTCACCTGCTCTTTCATACATGTATGACACCTCATTTATTGAGGAGTCTATCACCTTCAAGATCACAAACAATAAAGGTTTGAATCTTGATTTGAAAAACAAAAATTTGACCAATTTTGCATGGTCGTGCAATGCACGTACATGTAGACTGCATAGGGATGCGTGTAATCTCTATGGGAAGAATTTTAGCACACAACATCGGGTGCGCGATCAGACACCCTATTAAGTGGCCGAAAACCCCCTCCTTTACTCTAAAATGCATCAAGAAAATCATCCTGGAATCCGTTTTTTGCATCGCCAATGTGCCAATCAAAATTATGGAACATCTGCTTTTTTGCAGACGATCCTTATCCTCGGACCAGTAGTAGGGAGGCCAATGCCCGGGCGTAAGGCTTCTACACCTATGATTTGTGCGCTCGTCGTCCACTTCAAAAAATTAGCAGAACAGAAAAAATGATGTAAAAATAAATATTGATCATGAAAATAAGAAAATAAAATACAATTATACATTTCAAAACATACCTATAATCATGGATCTGTAACGGTCTTTCACCATTTGTTGACGATCTCGCAGATTCTGACGTATTTGAATCCAATAATTGTCGTAGCAGAAGCTACATGACGCACACGCACCACCGACTAAGAAAATCCTAGAGGGCGTAGAGGTTTGCTCACTAAAAGTAAAAACCTTCTCGTTGGCAGAAGGTAGACCCTAAAAATATGGGTTCCGTTTTGAGTAAAGAACTTTTGATAGAGATCAACATTTCAGATGTTCACAATTGCCACTTCTAACAACTAGAAAATATAAAGAAAAAAGATCTATTTAAATACAGATTTTTACAAACTGAATATTCGAAGGTAGATAGAATACGATGTTTCTGTCAATCTTGCGTTGGTTTGAGCCCTATACATGTAGCTACATCCATCTCACAGTTTTTCCTTCAAAAAACTGTGCGCCATCTACACGTTCGTAATGGCGTTATCACAGTTTTTCCTTCATAATCATTTTGCCTTCGGCGTAGACTAGAAGAGATGAGATTGATGTAGATGACTTCGGCAGCGAGAGTTTAACACGGCTTGCAAGATTTTCAACATGGATGTCGATTTTGACCCACAATTTCCTTAAAAGGGACCATTAAACGGATTATTTCAATCAAGTTAGTAAGTGTAACCGATGTATTATAGCCTAGGCCTAATTTACATTTGGATATGGACGAGGTAAAATGACATTTTGGGGGATTTTGGGGGCAAAACGCTACGACCTGAAATGGCCGTGGCGTTATCAAGGGAATGTGTATAGACGGTTTCCGTCTCTAAAGAGAGAGCCGGCCGACCCTACCCCAAAAAGAGGCTAACGAACGAAAGAGACGGAAAATTCGGTCTAGATTTGAAGGTGTGTGTTTTGTGTATGATACATGGTTAGTGAGTACCGTACGTTATGTTTAGGATCTATAGCGAGAGAGAGAGAGAGAGAGAAATAATATAGTACACGTCTGCGAACGTAGTCACGTGCTGATTCCGTATTGTGTTCGCTGCAAGATGGATGTTAATTGGACCTCGTAACTTCTCGATCGTTGATAATGCAGTGTCAGATTGATCTTTACTCATGAGGAAATACTATTGGATTTGGAATACCACCTTAAGGTAGGCCTAATTGTTAATTTTAATTCTTTTCTAGGATTATATCGACTACAATCACGTAGATCTACGTTTATTTTTTCTGTCTGGTCATGTTTTGTCCCTCCATGGCTCGATTTCAGGACTGTGGCTTGCAATGCAATTACCTAGCTGTGTCGGTGTGTGCGACCGATTCAAGGCCAGCCGCTGATGATGAATGGAATTTCGCGCGAAGTTTTAAACTTGTTGTCCGGGCAATGACAGGCCCCATCCCCTCGGGCCTGTCTAATTAATTATGAACGTAATTTTGCGACATGAAATATAATTGTTTCAAGGCTCTTACGTACAGATAGGCATAGACCTTCTAGAAGGAACTGTCTACAAAAGAGCTGGATATCTTCTCCTTATTTGATGGAACTTCTGGAGTCGGCAGATGGGTGGATTTTGTTAGTGAAAGAAAATACTTTCTTTTAATCTTTGTTTTATTATAAACAAATTAGTAATTAAAAAGTTAGATTTTGGCATTGACCTCCCTACCAGTAGAGTCTAGACATCACTTGGCGTTGAGGCTGGCGTTGAGGCTGGCGTTGAGGCTGGCGTTGAGGCTGGTGCATGGTTGAGCTATCGATAACGTGCACGCACGCGCGATCGGTATCGTTCTTCTCAACTGACCATCGGGGTTGGAGCTCGGTTCAGCAGCCTTTCCAAGCTCTCAACACCAACACCAACACCGAACACCGTACTTGAAATCACTCAGCATGCTCAGTGAACGTTTTGTCGACAATGTCAATGACAATGTCTGTCATCTGGTCATCATCTTGTCAATGCAAATTGCAATGGCAATGATATGCGAAAAGAAATAGTTAATTTTCAGCTCTTTAAATATGTATCATGAGTCTCTACAATTACAACACACCACAAAAATAAAACATTTTACCGCCCTGATATAGAAAATGCAACATACTCACTTGGTATTCGTTTAGAAAAATCTTTTTTTTAGCCTTCAGTGGATACATTCACCGTTAACCTCGACTGTAGTGTAGGCCTACTGCACTATGTACTGTACGTGCATGCTGTACTACGTGCGACGTATTAATTGTCCAACAATAACCACAAACTATAAAGATATAGCCAATAGAGGGAGCGCGACGGATTATAGGCAGCGAGCACAGGCTATATATAACTCTCTCGCGAGGATTGTTTGGACTACTCATGTAAACTCATAAAACCAAGTGAAAACTTGGCAACTACATTGAGACAACTTTAGATGTTATAAACGTTGAATTTACTACGGCGAAAAGTTTTATAATTTAATGCTAGAAAGGAAAAAAGAGAAAATTGGTTTCCATTTTTGGCAAAATATTTTAGGCCTACCAGAAACATTTGTTTGGAAAGATGTATTTCAGTTCAAATTTAATAACATAAGAGACAATAAGATCAAACAATATAATTTCAAATTAATTCATAGAATATTGCCATCTAAAGACAATCTCTTTATATGGAAAATCGTACAGTCTAACGAATGTGAAATTTTTCGTGAAAAAGAAACTATTGAACATTTTATATTTCGTTAATTGCAAGAAATTAAGAGTTTTCTGGAAAATTATCTCAAGAATTATATATTTCATTTTTAAAATAGAAATTGAAATTGATATGAAAATGTTATTGATTGGATATAAAATAGATAACAAAAAAATATACTTTACTTAATTTTTGGATAAATTATGCTCAACTAGTTATATACAAAGACTACGTAAAGCGGAACTTTGGAGAAGTACCAACCAATCCAAAGAGGTTAATAAATAATTTTATTTCATCATTAAAATGTTATTTGAAATACAAAGAAAATATAAAATACTTGGATATTGAGGAAGTTAAGAAAGTATTAGAAATGTTAAAATGCTCATTTTAAGATATTCTGTTGATCTTGTATATAATTCATGTTTCATTTTACTTGTTTTGTAAATAATATATATGTATTTTGAAATGGAACAATAAAGTCCCTCTGAAGAGGTAAAGAGAAAAAAAAAAAGTGAAAACTTGGCAAGGCAGACATTCTCTCTCTTTATTTTTTCATCTCCTCCACATTCATTTCTCCTTTACCCCTTCTCTCTTCCTCGCTCACTTTCTCATTTTTTATTTAACTGCTTAACTACTTCATGCCATTTTACAGGCCCAAAAAAAAAAGATCAATGCTAATCTTCATAGATTTGCATATTATGGGTTGTTTGGGTCATCTGTAACTACGGGAAGCTCCAACACCGGCGCCGGTGTTGGACCTTCCCGGAGTTAGGTCATCTGAAGAAAAAAAAAAATTGTGTATAAAATTAAAATTAAAAATAATTATAGTTATACAATTCTGAAAAATTGCTGGATTTTGCACAGAACACATATGCAACTATTAGCTTGATCTCCTTATATATTTTTTAAACTCAATTTTATTGCTCAAATTAACCAGGGTTTAAATGACGGTCAAATTAGTTCATGGCTCTCAAGAAATGACTTTTGGCCTTCTAAAATTGGTGTACCCTCTTTTGTAAATGAGTGTCACAATATTAAATTAAAGATTACCTATCAGTTAACCAATTACTAGAAATAAATATAAAAAAGGCACTTAATCGATATTGGGATTAATCTTTATCAATCTACATATTTCAAGACACTTAAGATTTCAACAAAAACAGTTGTATTTTTTTTTCATTACCAACTTTAATCATTCTACATACTATTCTTTTATTTACAGTATACACACTCAAACAAATTTGTATGTACAACAAAAAATACTTAATGAAAATTCATTTTTACAATATACTTTTACAAATGATCTGATTATGATCATGTAAAAGAAAGGAAAAGTGTTTCTGGGCAGATCTTTTTCAAGGAATCTAAGTTAGCAATAATATCAAAGTACTTTGGTTCAATACAATACCAGGCTGGTATTCATTCCTGATTGAACAGCTAACAGATATCATAATAAAAACATGGACATTTTTATTTTTTCAAATGTATATGAGAGCTAGAATATGAGACGTTAACTCTAGTACGGTAGTATATGAGTAAATTACCCTCTGGCACTCAGCAGATGTCAGTGTGTGATATTCATATATATGTATATATAATATATATATATATATATATATATCAGATTTGATAATTAATCGACCCATCATGCAAACGTTGTGATCTTTAGATTCCTTGTTGACCATACATGCGAGACAAACGAATGCATGTAACTAGCGATATTATTTTCGATAATATTGGATTTGTTGACAGAAATTTGAAGAGTAAAAGGGTGTCATATTGATAATAATAATATTCCGCTTTTATATAGCGCTTAATAAATGTACATCTACGATGTCTCTAATTAAGTGCTTTATACAGATATACTATTACCCGGCCATAAACATTCCTCTCTTATGATACCCCTAGAGGCGTTATTACCAAAAAATAAATAAAAGATTGTAAAGCACATACCACAAGTACATGCAACTAATATACAAACCATATGACAACCAAAATTCATGGCTTAAGTCAGCTTTGGAGCTGTCTTAAACTTAGGTACCGTAATGTACTTAGCCAAAAGCTTCAACTGAATATCAAAGTTGGCTATAAAGTATTTTACCTTTTAAAGCCTAAGATTGAGTGAAATACTCTAAAATAGGTATTGAATTGAATACTGTATGACCCAGGTGCCTATTAAAGAAATACTGTATGTGTATTTTAACCGGCAATGGAGGAATCCAGAGGGCTTGTCATGTGGTTGATAAGAACAAAGCATTGTCTTTGGTAATTGGCAATATATAGATTCATGTAGATAGAATTCGTTAAATATACAAATCTTGTTTTCATCAAATATCTTCTTTTTAAACAGTTTAAAATGAAAGGAATGATGAGATTCTATCAATATAATTCATACTGTGAAAAAATTAGATTTAATTCATGTAGGCAAAAATACAATATACATTTTCACAAACTAGACTTGCTCTTTCCAATAACCTTGTTAGATTTTCATGCAAGTAATGATTTCAATCGCCAGTATTAAAGCACTTCAATGGATAAATTCTGAAGAAGAAAAAAAAACTACAGAAATGTTTTCCCCATTAGACTTCTGAAAAATGTTTCTTGGATACATCATAATCAAATCATGCTTAAAACATTTCACAACGATAACAACATCAAAATACACTATAAAATGATACTGTGCTGTAAGCAATATGAATAGAAACAAAACTTGGTTATGTGTTTGGGGGAGACAACATACAATATCTCCTATACGAAATATATGCCATTTATCGAGTTTCATCAAAAAATGAAAAGTCGTTTGAAAAGGCCAATTACTTTATTACAAAGAACAAACAGTCCAATAGAGAGGATTCACAATTAACAGCTCCCGGCCACACTGGCAAGCCGCGACAGCCTGCCTGCTAGGCAAACTTTTCAGCTCGTGAGTATTTTCTTTCAACCAGTGCAACCGTTTTTAGTACTAAAACAAAACAATAAAGGCTTGTTCAAACATGATGCTGCAAAAACCACATTTTTGTAATTGCATGACCTAAAGTGTTATATATGCTTCATATTTCTGTATCTTATAAAACAGAGCTCAGTGAATATGCGCAGGCCCTTTGTTTTGCGCAGCTGCCATTAATTTACATGTAAAACAACTAGGAGATTTTTTTTCAGGCGGTTAATTTCCCCAGCCATATCTGAACATATATTCTTTGGTATCAATTATCTACATAGACCGTCACAATCTTCCACCATACCAATAACTTCTCAAATATTTGGTTGTCTTGATACAAATTTGGTTTCTCTTCCATAACACATTCTCATCATTTTTTGATATCTACAATATAAATAAGTGCTCAATGATTTATTTGGTCGAGCTGAATTTGATTAACCATTTGTGCATACCTGTGTATTTTCATTTGGAAAAAAGCATGCTACTTTGAATTAAGGTCCTAAAAGTTATTATCACTACAAGCTAACTTTTTACCCACATTCTGCAAGAAATGTTGATATTTCTAAATAACTCTTATAATCTGTCATTACACAATCTTAACCAATAGGCTGATCTTTAAATAGATTAAATCTCTAGTATGTGATAAAGGAACATCTTTAAGTCTCTGTAAAAACATGTTTCAAGATAATGGAAGAATATTATCCCTGCAATTTGAAAGACATGATATATTCCAGTATTTATTTCCCAAAACTATCAAAAAGAAAGCACCACAATTCAAACAACGCTGATATACATTTCTTTTATGGTCAGCCTTCTGTCTATTTCCTATTGTGACAATATTTCATCTTTACAAAATAATTGAAAACATAAAAAATACATAAGAAATATGGAAACACAGACAATACAAATCTGTTCATATATCTCCATCTCCCACTGCAAGAAAATGAACTAGAAAAATACACTCCAGTTTACCAATAAAGAGAAACATTTGAAGTATGTACAATGTGGTCATGCAGAAACAAGAGTCAAGGAAAACAGAAGAGAGCAAAATAATAGGATACAAATTTCAAATTTCTGCAAAAATAACACACAAGCTGGTATTTCAAGTCATCCCTAGAAAGGTATTGGAGAAACAATCCAATTAAGTTTGAACCATACTTGAGACGGGATGCAACAGTAAAGAGGGACAAATAAGCTAAGCTTCCAGTCTCTACACCCAAGTATACCCAAGTAAGTATGAAATGAGTGTAGATCAAGGTAATAGAAAAGGGAATTGTGGAGGAATATAGCAGAAACACACTTTTGAAATTCTGTAAAAGCTGTGCTCATTAATCATATTTTGGTGTATGCATGGGCTAACCAAACTATCTACACTGTACATAGATATCTTAATTTCAAACTCCAATACAACAAACATTTAAAAAAAAGCATTTGTTCAAACAGAACATGATAAAAAGCAATAAGATAAATTGCTGCAGTCAAAGCTCCCTAATGCTTTTCATAAAATTAATTCATGACAATGTAAGGAACTATTGCTTGAATTTGTCCCCCCAAAATATGTGTTTAATGACCTACCTTAACAAAAGTCAATCGTAAAAGCAACAAAAACACAAAAAATAATTCTTCTATAAAAGTAATACTCATTGTGGTCCAGTGAAACTTAACATCTCTCAATCTTATATGACCTTGGTTTGACCATGATATGAACTTGTTGTGACCTCAGTATGACTTTATTAGACTCCGCCCTCCTCCTTGAAATGCATGATTGCTTCAGCCATCTTCTGTCCTTTATCCTCCTTCTCCACTGTTCCCAAGTAAAGCTCACTGAAATCAAATCGATAACAAAAGAGGTTATAAGGAAGTGATTAAGAGCAGGAATTTAGCCTTAATGTCTATGGGACATCAAACAAATGATCCATTTCTTGTGGAAGATGCCAAATCTACACATTTCATTGATGCCCTTTGTTTCCTACTTTATTCAATTTTGATACCCAATCTTGAAATTCTCACAAAAATTCTGATTTAGAGTATGTGATCATGTGAAGTGAAACCAGGTTCATCAACTGTGGCTAGCTGCCTTTCAAAGACTACCTTGTTTTTCTACCCTTTGAGCTGTATTTTAAATTAAAACCTCTAAAAAAAGGAAAATGGTAATATGATAATCTGTCTGTACAGACTGGCTTTTCTACTTTTCACTAAACTTTTGAAGGTAGCCTATAATGGTCTGTCTATTTCTAAAGAATATTTTCCCCATCACTAATTGTAAGTCTTTTTATACAGCAGTACTTTGACCGAGTTTGACCTAAACCTGCCATTTCAAGGTCATCCAAATGTTCATTGACCTTAAAATTAATTGTCATTATCAACTTAATTTGTCAACATTCTGAGATAAACAAATGCTGCTGATTCCCAATGGTGATTAAAATAAATTTTTAAATATGACAACTAAGGGTTATTATTAATAATATTAACAATGAGAAAGGTATCTAAATAAGAGCAAAGAAAATTGCTCTACTTCTATCACTGAATGAAAAAAAAAGCCTAATTGAAACAAAAATTATAATGGTAACCTAACTCTTTACTGTAACCTTCACCAATTAAAGGAAGTATTTATAATAAAACAAATTGTATATATCCAACTCTTTAACTAGCTCTCATTATTCGCAACTCAAATTTTAGCACATCAATCTTTTCCTACTTCTAGTCTACTAGCAATCATTATTAACCGTATCAGACAACTGAGCAGGGCAATTATAAAATTGTATTGTCGAGCACTGGATGCACAGTGCTGGTTTGACAATGTTTTTGCAGCTTTTCATGCTAGGAAACCCTGTGCAGTGTAGGCTATTGTATTTTACATAATTTAAGAGTATAAGATAGTAGGTGTTTCTTGTTTGCTCTAGATGTCTGATGTGGCTAATAATAGTAATATTGACTGCCTAATTCAGGACAATATGACTTGTCATATATAACCCTCACCTTCGGTTTGGGCGATATATGTTGTATTGCCCTAACGGCAGTCGATATTACTTAATTATCAATACCAGTATCTAAGCTAGAAGCAGATAAAAACATTCCTCAAAATATCTATCTAAATATTTAGAACTGGAAGACAAAGTATTGAGAAGAAATTGTATAAATAAGAAAATGTTTCTTGAAAATAAGATTGACTTTAACATTATCTCCATCATGTTATTGTACAAGAGAGAAAGAAATTAAGTTTTCAAAAAAGTTAGAAAAGATTAATAAATAAGTAATGAGTTTCATAAGATATACACAAGTATGACTTCTAGGTGGGAAATCGTATATGAAATTATAAATGAGGATATATTAGTAATGAGTTTCATAAGATTATACACAAGCATGACTTGCACATGTAGGTGGGAAATAGTATATGAAATAATAAATGATATATTAGTAGATTAGGCTACGGATTAAGATTCTAGATTGGAAAGTATATAGAATATAAGTGACCCTAACAGTGCAAGGTGATGATGTACAGTATAACATACAGAATACTCTGCACACAAAAAAAACCATGAGCACAGAAACGTTCACACCTGGAACCCAGTGAATAAATAGTGTTATATACCTCTCTTTAGAAATCTAGCCATCTGATTGGTCGAAATTGCAGTCGTGATTTTAGCCATTCCCCTCATATACCTGCCAACCGGTCAATAGTCTTTTTAAAGATGCCTATTGCCCTGGGTAACAGGCCGCATATGTCAATTGTGCTCAGATCCCCATTGGTATATGTGTTAAAATTTTCTTTGTGCGAGCGTGGACACCATACAGTGCTTTTTGTCTGCGATTCCCAAATGATTGAAACTTTCAGTCATTTTTCCAGCAAAGATAAACAGACAGTTTCTCAGATTTTATTACTCAATAAAAGGATAAGGTAAGAATTCTTGGTAGATATTTGTTTGAATTCGGCATATAAAAGACATATCGACTGCTTTAATATTCAAGGTTTGGCTGTTTTATAGGCTCTCGGGAAACTTGCACATCTTGCCATGACCCCTCGGCGCGCCTCTGGGCCATGGCAAGATGTGCGCACGTTGATCGTTTAGATGACACTTTACGTCATCATAAAATAAACGCTGCGGTTTTGTCGCATCATATATAAACAAGCCTGCAATACAATGTCTCATCATTTTGTATCAGGCTCCTATAGTATAGAGGTATCGACTGCTTTGAGAGGCCTGGCTGGTTTTATACACTCAAGGGGATACTTTCTGTACACAAGGACAGACAAATACAGAAATTGCCTTTTTGATAAACAATTTGGGATACTGAGCGTTGTGCATATATGCAATAAAAATGTCCGCGCGTTCAGATAACCCTTAAAGATATTAAAAATAATGCATTTTCGGAAGTACTCTTCTGTTATAGGTTATGTACTACAGTTATTCCTCTTATAAGTGAATACAAGTACCTACATAAGACAGTTTTTAATGAAATCTTCCAAGGTATCATAAATAGCTTCATTTTTTATTTGAAATTGGAAAATGGCCATTACAAAGCGGGAAAATCATCCAGTTTTTCTTAAGTTAACAAATTTCTAAATCTAAAAATAATAATTTGGTTTCTATATTATATACTGCTGACCTTTAGCACCTTTAGAGAAAATGGAAATGGAAAGAACCATTTTTTTTTTTAATGAATATCAAAATGAATATGTAAAGAGACAAGAATGAAGTAAAGGAAAAAGTACATGTAGATGCAAGATAAATCTAAATCTAAGTGAAAGAAAAAAATAATTACATTAAAAAAATAGAAGAAATTGTAACTTTTTTTATTAGACCACTGCAAATCCTCCCACATACCTGTTAAAAGTCCATAAGGCAAATCTGCTCTTTACATATAACAACTAACAATGGATATACAGCTTATAATTTTCAAAGAGTTAACAGAGCATATGACTATATACATACCTTTGCATATTAAATCTTGGCATAACCAAGATAAAGCTCACTAAATAATTGAAATGAAGCAAGATAGTACCAGGGAAATGCATGCATGCAAAAATAAATAAATGTGACAAATGAAAGTGTGAGAAAACAGCAAACTGAGATATATATTTGACATTCTTATAGCGATGCAAGTCTGTTGGTATTAACACTGTTGCACTTTCACATAAAGTTGGAATAACTTTTTCTCATCTTTTTAATGAAAAGATTGTGACAATATGTTTATTCTTGATAGACAAAGTTCTGAGAAGATATACACTTTATCTATACTGTCACTGTGTCACAATAAATTTTTTTTTTAAAGAGGTAAGAAAAAATTATTCCAACTTTGTGGGCAACAGTGTAACTGCAAGGGAATATGTATTATTATGAATGCACTGGTTTTGATGGTGAATCCAATCATTTGTGAAGGGGTTGACATTCAGTTTGCCTTCAGTTGCAATAATGCACCTTTGCATAATTTAATTATCTGATGATTCACTTGTAGTCCAGTTAAGCATCTCAATGTAGAGTTTAGGGTTATATTGCAAGACATGTAGCTGGCTCGCAAGCATTTTGGTTTTTTTTTTTCGTACAGTATGTTTTCTTGGGGGGGGGGGGAGGAGGTGGTGTAAAAGTAAAGACTGGTCGTGAAGAGCAAAGGGTGGGATGACTGACAGAGAACTTATACCTTCTCATAAAATTGATATTTACTACCCTTTCTCATGTATACATACCTGAGATATTGATAATAGCGGAGAAACATGGCTATATAGACCACAATTTAATACACTCTAAGCCCCTTATTCTGTGCATGGTTTCGTCACGGTAAATCAATCAAATATTAGTTTGAACTTGCACAGCCATCACCTCTAGAAACTGTCATCTAGCTATTCAGAGCCAGAAGGGCAATTGACTAGGTATGTGTTAACTTCAAGTATATGAGTGAACACCTTGGCCTACTGGTTCTAAACAGATGATGTCATAATATTTTCAGATCTTTTTGTAAGCAGAATGATAAGCAATATAGAGAGAACATTTGCCAACTTGCAGAAGAACAATTACATTTTCTTACCAAAGTACTAATGAATGAACCAGGTTGATCATTATAAAGCAAAAGAAAATGTACATATCAATGTTTAAAATCATTAGTTTGTGTTTCCATGTCAGATTTCATTTCAACATCAAAGCACATGCATTAGAAATGCATTTGAATTCACTGTTTTAAATAAAAAATGCAATAATCTGCTAGCAATTCAGAGCTTATTTTGAATTTATGTCCATTCTCCCAGAGATCATTCTACGGTTATATTAATCAATATTACATCCTTGAAATCATGCCGCATAGTTGCCATCATCAAACTGCGACAAGGTAAAAATCAGAATAGTTCTCATCATAAACATGATCTTATCAATCTATTTTTGAAAAATCCACTCAAGGGCAATTAACCCTGTTGTATGTCCTATAGAAATCATGCATGTTCAGATATAGTAAAATGTCGTTGTAATGTTGGCACATTTCAATAGGTGATGCACAAGGCTTTAGAAATTTTGTATTTTTCCTTTTTTTATCTTCAAGTATTTGTTCCCTGTTAATTCCATCTCGTTCAAACTTGTTCAAAACATTGCTGAGAGTTGTGGAAGATGTTAAAAAAGGGTGCTATTTCCAGTATGCAAGGGATCCTGTCCATCCAAACATTTCTATGAATCATATAATTGCATGAGCCAAAAGACATACCAGTATGCTTTTAGCGCAGAGATAATGCCCTTTTGGTTCCAAATAGACAAATTATTTTATTAGAAGTGGATTAGAAAGCAAGCCTCTTAAATTATTGATGTATTATTGCTGTGCTATACATTGTTTAATATCCACAACAACTTTTTGTTCTCTCTCTCCAGAGATTCATATCAGTATATGATATATGAACCTAAAGAAACCAAACGTCAAAGATGGACATTTTGATTTTCCACAAGGGTAGCACAGTAATGATTAATCATGTAAAACAAGGGCTTTTAATAGAGCACATTCATATTGTTTATGGGAGTCACATAAATTACATTCTTCAGACCTGTATTAAAAAAGAAAACAAACATGAGTAGCAATGAGTGAATTACTATCTAATGAGTTACACACAATGCATGCACCTTAATTATCAAGAAGCCTGCTCTAGAAATAAAATGAAAGTGAATTATCAATATTAGACTTCTCTACCAGGATCAAGTTAAATTACATGCAAACATTTCTAGTCACCCCTGTTGAGGAAAATGGGCAAGTTAACAGGGCAACAAAAAGAATTCCACTGACATCTAGCATAAAGTATCCATACACCTGTACATATTGCCTACATACCATTAACATTTGTAACTGATGTGAACAACTTGCAACACAAAGAAGTTTGTTCACTTCTAAATTCTAATATGGGAAAATTATTTCATGGACTATTAAACTCTTTCGCTTTCACAACATTAGAACATAGATCTGATGTAATTTTGACTCACAAATTGCCTACTTTGCACATAAACCAAACCTAAAATATAATTTTGTTTTCATAAGGTAAAAAAGAAACATCAAAGGTGTTCACTATTTTGATATATTTTTTGTGATAGTGACGTTATTCAAAATTTGATACTGCATGCATCTTCTCTCTAAATTTCATTCCTAAATCTACATATTTTGCTTTCATTCTTATAGATAAGTCTGTATCATCTTTTGCCTGCAATTTTCAAGTTTCTATTCTACATTTGTTTGCAATTACACCTTTTTTGCACACTACATAATAGGTATTGTCATGAACTTTGTTAATTTACAATACAATGCTAATTAAATATACATACAATGTGTTATATGATAATACTATAATTTCATTCATTAGGGATTCCCCTATTCAGCATGCAATCTACAAATCAAGATCATTAAGTTCTCTCAGAAGTAGAAAGAGTATACCCAGTGACATCTACATGAAGGGAGAAAACACACTGCCATGCCACTACTGCTAGCTAGCCCCTAGGGTGGGGATGGAGGGAGGGGGCATGCACATAATACTAGTGACTTACCACAGGTAACATACAAAAACAGGGGTGGGGTAATCACGTTGCTCGTAGGAATTGCATATATACAAGAAGGTTGCTGTATGGGGTTACATGGAAGGACACATTGTGGACATAAACAACATTCATGCCCATAAACAATATATCAACAACTCAAAATTTACAAATCTACACTCAAATATAAATATGTTTCTTAAACTCAGTATCAAATCAAGTGGAACAAGCAGATACATATATGGATTTTAGTATATACTCAATCAATCAAAACAGTACTGATCGATAGATGTACTTTGTAGTCTAATTACCTTAACTTTTCAAGTTTCAGATTTTGATACTGTAGTTTGACTACCGGTATAATCTTATTTTTTTTAAAGAAAGGGAACAATCTATGTGATATTAGAGGTACAGTATCCAACAAAATTGAGTACACCCCTTAACAAGTTTTGAATTCTAAATTGACCTCTTACAAAAGTGTACTAAAAGCATAAATGTAACCCTTACAACAATGATAGAGTAGACATTCTGTGATATGTGTATCAGAACAAAACATTTATATCATAACAACAGTATAGCATATTGAGGATATTGTTAAAATTGTAGCAAAAAAGTTGGTACACCCAGCTTTTGTATGTAGATTGTCAATGGGTTTTACAGAGTAATGTGTCATCCTGTAGTTAAAAATTGTATTCTCATATTTGAGAACTGGTCAATAATCTGTATTAATTTATAAATGAAAGAGATCCCTTGTATTATTCTTAGCATAAATGCCTTTCTGAAGAAGTTACAGGTGGATAGGTAGGAGTTACATAGCATGTCAAATAACCTAAACCCAATAAAGCTCTTCTGGGCCATTCTATAACACACAAACTGGAGAAAGACACACAATTTCAAACTTTTGTTCCCTTTTCAACGTCAATGCTGAGGAGCGGAACAGGATGAAATCCAAGACTTAAAAGTAATATTGGTTATCTCTACACTGATTACAATTTATATAGTGAAAGGAAAAAATGGTGACCATACAAACTTTTGACAAATATTCCAATATGTTTATAGTACAGGGGTGTCCTCACTTTTGCGCTATACTTTTGGAATGGAATTAATATTTTGTACAAAAATGTACTAGGGGTACACTATCGTTGGATACTGTATTGGCAATGTAAGCAAAGGGTTAAAACCATTTCTCAAGAATGTCTGAATATCCATTACCATCCCTAATTCCTTCGGCTACAATTTTTACTCTCCAAACGTATGTGGATTCTTCCCTGATAATATAGCAAATATAATTCCCATAATCAGGCAAATCAGAAACCTATACAATGTTAAAGATTTGTAGAATCTGGCATTATAAAATTAAATCCAATTTTTATCATAGTCTTGTAAAAAAAACAAGACGAATGCTAATGCGACTCCTATATGCCTCTGCCCTAAATTCAGTAAGTGGATTGATTTATTCATGACATATCACAATGAAAATAAAAAGCCTATATCTTGTGGTTCTTGAGATATCGCAATAACGAGTCGAATACCTGGAATTCTAAGTAGACCTCTGCGACGTTTGACCTAGTTACTCCAAAACCTTTTCAGGGCCCTGTTGCAAATTGCAAAAACCATTGATGGTAACTTTGCCATCAATGGCATCTACCATGGTAATAGGGCTCAACAGCCAATCAAAATCAAGGTTTTCATGGTAGTTACCATTGATGGCAAAGATACCGTCAATGGTAAGTCTTGTGCAACAGGGCCCAGATTGTCTTCCTATCATCAAGTTTTAATTTCATATCTCAAGCGGTTCTTGAGATATATTAGTATAGCGTCAACGAGAAAGCTGTACGGATGGACGGACAACCCGGAAACATAATGCCTCCGACACCACGTCTTTGGGGAGTAGGCATAAAAAGGCATTACAATAGCTCGGCAACCTGGGGGTGTTTCACAGAGACTAAAATTAACTTAAGTTTGACTTGAACTATGGAAGGCCATTCATGCCACTCGTTACTCTCACTATTATGATCTTTAGATAATATATTTTTTCCTCCAATAATGAATTTGATTTGTATGTCCAAATGTCCCAATGCCAGTAAATGGTGAGAGAAAACAGTGGCATGAAGCCTAGAGGGGACCTGGCAGACATCCATATTTGGATGTATTAGGTTCTTCCCTGAATGTTCAAATCCTCAGATATTGGTACCTCATTCGTTTGATCAAATTAGTGCACTGCAATGCTAAAAATAAAACAGATTTTCAGCTCCAGCTCTGATAATCCTAATTGTGGTTTAAACATGTATATTTGCAAAAGAATTTTTTTTAAATATAACTTATGGACCAGATATAAGCAAAGCCATGAGCCATATGCAAGTTTTTGAGGAGGAACCAATATATTTGAGAACAAAGATATATAATCAAACAAACAAAACACCAGTACCTGTGCAGTAGCATGAGATATTAACATTAAGACAGGTGGTGTATGAACATATACTTTTGAAAGCACATTTTTGGTAGTTAAAGGTACTATGTCCCTTTTGCAGCCAACCTCAAATTCTGTAGAACTTTGCAGGAATTATAAATATTTCATGTATGTCCTATCTGTGAAATTTAAACGTTAGCAGTGTCCTCATAATCAAATTATGCAAGGAAACCCGTTTACTTGCTAGACTTCACTGTCAGACACTATTGAGTGACTGACTGGCTTTTTTCTTCTTTGGTAATAACATACATGAAAAGAGTTGTAAAGGGTACATGAGCATTTGTCTACATCAATAACCCACTTCTTGTGATGGCCAAGATTAAACTGATTGAATCTTTGCGCAGCATAAAACGTATGACCATTCGGTACAATTGTCTGAAAATCAAGACTATTACTTTTGGGCTCTATAGCCCTAAAGTCGATTTGACAACTAATAGTCGTTATTTTCCCACTTGAAGACATTTTCAAGCCCCACCTTTTTTAGGGAAGTTCTAAATTAGTATTATCTTTCAAATGCAGTTGGAATTTAACTTTTTCATTTCTTGGGCCTGCAAATGGGATATAGTACCTTTAATGCATTCTTTTGCAAAATTTACAAATTCCTCCACACAATATAGTTTTCTCTTGTGAAACCCCAAAATTTTGTGCCAATTTTGGAAGACAATAATATAGCATTTACAAATCTGTAATTAGCCAGAGAGTTTATACATGGATCTCTGTACTTTGTTATATTAAAACTTGCTTTGACCCTAGCTGGATCCACACAAATCAACCGCATGACCTCTGAATTACGACCTCCCACAAAACACATGATGCAATGAGCAAAGCAGCATGACATGGGGATGGTAAGAGGTAGGCAATTAATATATGTGACAGTTAAATGCAAGCTATAACGACAATGCACATGAATATTAGGACTAGGTAAATCGTCTGGACAACACATATCATCACGAGAATTATGTGTTACAATTTTGGTCACGGTACCATACCTGTAGTTAATTTCTCCATCGCCATCTTTGTCTAGTTCTGCGATCAGGTGAGCAATGTCATCATCTGTCAGATCTATGCCACTCTCCTGGAAACAACATGAGATGAAAGCATGCATGCAGGGTTGAACTTTCCAAAAGACAATAAGGATTAACATAACCTATAACGATTTTTTTCCCTCTTCTTTTTGCTCTTACCCTAAACTAATCTGTGAGTATTCAGATACACTAGCAGGGCCCGTGGAAAATCCACGGGATTCTAGGGGAGGGCCGGGGGTGGGGGGTTTAATAGAGGCCTATGTGCTATCGAAAATAAAATTAGATTATTTTTATATAGACAATTTGTGTAATATAATTATGCTGTTTTGACCATGAATGGCGCACCGTAACAAAAACTATGTCAGGTAGGATCTCGATAAGTACGATTTATTTGCATTATTATTGTTGTGATTTCAATGTAGTTTTTATGAAAAGAGTACAAAAGCAGAAGCTTGGATTATGATTATGTTGGCATTGTTCATAAATTTTGTTTAATAATTTTTAAAGTAAAGATTTTACGCGAAAAATCAGACGGTTTGTGCCAATATGTAGCAGCCAGCTGCATGCAGTGCACAGATTGACTCGACTGTGTGTGTGACTGTGAGCGTAGAATCAAGTGAATTTTTTTTTTCGGGGGCTCGATCTATATCAAATTTTCGGGGGCTACTTTTTCAACTTTCGGGGGCTCTTCTTTCTTGGGCTAATTTTTCATTAATCCATTTAAGGATATAGTTTGTTTAGTTTAGTAGCGTGGTGTTACGTAAAGTTAAGTTACGTCAAGTTTCTACGCCGAAAGTACGCAAAATTTTAAAAACATATTAAATTGTTTGCGTCCCTCAGGGTTTAGTAACGTAGAACAGCGTACTCTCAGCGTAGTTGGTACGCAACTCTACTATGGACCCCACGCCAATAAGTGACCTGCCAGTGTCACAAATAAGGTATTAAAAATATGCTCATCAGACCGAGAGACTGTAATTAAATGCCTAAAACCCCTGAGCTTTCGGGGGTTCAGCCCATTGAACCCTGTGGACACAACACCTGCACTCAACTCGCTTTGAGCTACCTGATCCCCCCCTCCCCCACACACACTTTGAAAAACGTTTTAATGCATTGATTTGATGCAAGAACTGTATCATAGTAAAAGTATTATTGTCTATCAGTATCATTTTTTTAAACGACCGGCTGATTTTCTTGTGAAAACTTTACTTTGAAAATTGATTATCGAAATTCAGTATACAACTATGGCATGGCCAGAATAATCACAATCTAAGCTCAGGTTGCATACCTCTATGAGTCTATTTACGAAAGTATATTGAAATCGGGGCAATAATAGCAATTTCAAAGTGTATTTTAGCTTCGACTCTCCTCACACCATGGACAGGCCTAGCTACTCCATGTTCACACACTCAGTCACAGCACCGGCCACAGCACCGGCGACAGCAGCACTCAGCTGCAGTGGCAAAACGTGTGTGGATTCAATGCAGTTTGCAACTGAACTGTCAGTCACGTGAAAACTTTACTTTGAAGAATGATTATCAAAATTCAGTAAACATGGACAGATTAATACCAAAGTAACCCTGCTTGCATACCTCTATTCACGTAAACTATATACAAATCACGGCAATCATCATAGAATCAGAGTTGAACCGACTGAGCTGTGCGTGTGACGGTGAGCGTAGAATCATCGCAAACATTATACACGTACGTTCGTACACACAGCAGGTCCGCCTGGCCTACAAAGCATATCACATAAAAAGACGCATAACACGGGTAAGCCCGACCCGTGAGAGCGTGCATTTCTTACATCCCATCATCCGGTTGAGTCATCTGTTAATGTGTATTTCTCTTACATGCTACAAAGCATATCCTATAGAAAGAGGTCTAACTCGGGGTACGCCGCACCCGTTACAATGAGATTTTTTACACCCGTTGACGCGAGTGGATTCTCGTCCATCGTGTATTTCTTTGTCTCTCTTTGATTAGACAGAGGGCGGGTGCACGCCTTGCCGACTCGCTCTCGCGAGTTTGTTGCCTCCTTGCAATCCGCGACGCCCGCCGTGCTGTCGTCCGCCCGTCCTCCCCGGGACCCTGAAACGGGGTTTAACGACATGGAGGTCGATCGCGGGGTCGACGTGGCACGCGGGTTACGGGAGACATGCCTTGTGGAATTGTGTCGCCGTCCACGCGCCACGGCGGAGGCGGGCGTGGTCGAGGAAAGAGTTTTTGAGGAACCGTTTTGCCCCGTTTTGGACCCCCCGCGGCGATTTTGCGTATTAATAAATATAGATGTACTCTGACAGAGATGAGGATTTACAAACTAGTACAAGAATGAACAAGGTAAAGAATTTCAAAGGTTTTACCTACAACTAATTCATTCACAATAATTGGGCCTCTTTCAGATATAAACCGTGGTGGGGTTTTTCATGACGTAAAATGTAGTACGCATCACATTTCTGTTGCTACAACACAAAGCTCAATGTAGAAGCTACATGTACATGTTAGTTGCCATTCGTTCACACATTAGAAAAATGCGACAGCTGTTTGCGGCAGTTTAAAGCGTCATATCTGAATGAGCCGTTACATCTGCTGAAAGCCAGAAGGTCATTTGCACATTCTAAACAGAGCTATTTAATTGCCCTTCTGGTTTTTCAGAATATATCTCATGCATCTTTTTAATCACTATAGACTAAAAGTAAACAATGCCCTCTCAGCGATCTCACCGGCATTAATAATGCAATTCAATATGATGAAAAACTGAGGTTGTGACATTGTTTATAGGCAGGGTGGCCCATTAACAGGCCCCCAAAAATAAAATCCTCTGAATATAATCAGCATTTTTAAGTGAATATTGACTAAGAATTTGTACCAAGATTGATAATTTTCATGAAATATGAACAAATAATACAAATGTATTTATTAATTCTCATATTAAGTTGTGAATACACAATACAAGTCTACTGACCTAAAATGACCTTTGACCTTGACTTTGAGACCTAGAATTTAAGTTATATGATTTGTGATACTTGATAACCCTTAGGAACAAGTTTCATGGAATTTAAACAAACACTTTTGAAATTATGCTAAAAATTAAAAATCTTGATGTTGATGTCATAACAAAGAATAAGTTTGCAGACCTGAAATGACATTTGACCTTGACTTTGTCACCTAAAAGACTAATCACATGATTGGTGATATTTGATGACCCTTATGTTTGAGTTTCATGGAAGACGAATGTATACTTTCAAAAATATTATAAAATTTCAAAATCTTGACCTTTAGTTATGTTTTTGATGTTGATGCCACAACATAGTCTCAGTTTGTTGACCTGAAATGACCTTTGACCTTAATTAGTGAACTGAAATTCTACTCACATGATTGGGAAAACTCGATAACCCTTTGGTCTAAGTTTCATTGAATGAGAACTTATACTTTCAAAATTACATTAAAAATTCAAAAACCTAACCTTAGGTTAAGTTTTTGATGTTGACACCACCGTAACCATAATCTCCCTTCTTCAAATCTCTACACAGAATTTTAATAAATGAATACTTGACAATGTGCGACCGGGTTGCTGAAGGAGCAGTTAATGCTCGTTTGCATATGTTGCTGTAGTACACAACTGCAGATTTTTTTGTTTAATGTATTAAATGTATTAAAAGAGACATTTAAAAACTCATTTGTTTTCTTTGTAATTGTCATTTTTTAGAGTGTAATGCACTTGGAGAGTATATAACTATTATGTTTGTATTTTAAAATGTAAAGAGCCTTGAGCATGTTCATGTAAAGGCGCTAAATAAATACCAATATGTATGTATGTATGTATATAAATGAATTGCGAGTGCAAATGAAAAATTACAAAGTCCTAAGTGTATATTCACTTATCCTGTGTGTCATGAGATTGAAAAGTGAAAAGCAACAAAATGCTGTAAACCAAGTCGATCTACAGCTCATAACATTGACACAAGTAATACCTTTAATCCTTCTTCAAACTCATCATAGGTCACACTCATGCTGCCATCCTTGTCAAACTTATTGAAGAAGTCCACAAGTCTGAGGTTATTCTTTTGGATGAAGCGTTGAAGCTTGGCCATCGGGTTGATCCTTCGTTTTGGTTTGACTTCGACCTGCATACCACCATGCTTGATCTTCAGGTTAGGTTTGATCTCCTTCATCTCATTCTGAAGCGCCTCAAAGTCCTTGTTGACTTGGATACTCTGAGAAAGGTGAAAGGTCATGTTCAAATGGGCTTTGACTATACATGTAATATGAATCCAAATATATTATTATTTACCCTTTCATCAAAAAACAATATAAAATGTTTTTAAAAAAAGAAAATCAGCATCCCAGCTATCCAAGATATCAATACAACAATACAAGTGGAATTACATCAATAATGGACAATTTTGTTATTTTTTGTGTATTTATATATATATATATATTCATAATATAAAAGAAAGTCTAGAGTTCTGTTCAGAGTTTGTGTTTGTATGTTTATATACCACAATAATTTCTAATTGATTTAAAATCTACTGCGTACTATTAAATCACCTGGAGTTTGTTAGAATATTTGGTAATCATGCTGCATTTTCAGGTGAGGAAGCTGCAATTTATTTTTTATTAATTTATATAACAAAATACATGAGTAATATGATATCAGCTTACCGAGAAGTCAATTTGTTCCATAGAGGAGTTTGCATTTTCTTTAATTGCCTTAACAACACCATAGCAGCCAGCTGTCTGCATTGGGTTCTTGCCCATCTGGAAAAATTTGGAAGAGAAATATAAAATTTCTTAAAATTCTTTCAAATATAAATAGAACTGACTTTGTCAGCACTGATATCAAGATGATCATAAATAGTACCTTCTACGTCGTCTTCTTCTTCTTCTTGCTATTCTTTCTTTCTTTCTTTCTTTCTCCTCCTCCTCCTCCTCCTCCTCCTCCTCCTCCTCCTCCTCCTCCTCCTCCTCCTCCTCCTCCTCCTCCTCCTCCTCCTCCTCCTCCTCCTCCTCCTCCTCCTTCACCACCACCACCACCACCACCACCAAATATTTTTTTCATCATACAAAATCTGTAACAAATTAATGCAACTTTAGGTAAATTTTTAGAGATAAGTATTCTACTATAAAGATTTCAGGAATTTGAGCCAACTCACCCTTAGAACCTTCAGGCTTTCGTTGACAGTCAGGCCTTTGCCAAGGAGAACAGCACCTTCTGCTGAAATACGATTATTCCTGAAGACATGCAACAAAAAAGAAGAGTGAGAAAACAATACGATGAATGATAATGTAAATCAAAATCACTTTTGGAACATTCCAGTCTACGTATTCGAAACGTTTTCTAAATTGATCATTTACCCTTGTCCTGAATGTTTCTATCAAAGCAAAAGATAAAAATTATCAGCATTAGCATCACTTCCCTTTTAAAATAGTATGAAATACGTTCATGTTTAAAATAAAAAATTGCACTAAAAATATATTCATTAGTTAAAAGACGCGTCTGCTTACTCAGGATTGGTCCCTGATGTGACGTCATCAAAACATTGCTTAATTTCTGGCAAAGTGCTCGTATATGATAATATCCCAGATCCTGAGAGGTGCTTTTGTTTGTGTTACATTTTTATTGTCCGATTATTATTTGTAATATTGGTGATTTTCAATGAATGTCTACTTTAATGATTGGGCAGAGACGATACTCTGTATTGACCTACTGATCCCTTTACTTACGTGACATCTAATTCTTCCAGATTAGTATTAGATTTCAGAGCATCTCCTAGCGCTTGAGCTCCATCTATGCTGAAACCATTCCATGATAAGTTGATTTTTCTCAGTCCTATGTTATTCTGAGAAGGAAAGTAACCAACTCAACTGAACGCCATATCTCAAAATCGACTGTATGTATATTTAAATTTAATGTTATGTAAATATAAATATATAAATTGTCAACTTGCCAGTGCTCATCAAACTAGACAATTTAATAAATTTACTAATATGAAATTTATGCATATATGTGAGAATGTTACTGCTCATACTGCTTAAACTAAAGGTAATCTAGGCCTGGGTGGAAACAATTCTCCACCCGGTCCCCGACTGTCACGCTAAAACCCGGGTTTAAATTGCCAATTTCGGCCCATCATTATTAAACTCACATAGAACATGAAATATACAATTCACAAACTGAATTTCGATTTAATAAATATACACGCTGTAGAAATAAATGTATAATGTTTCAGATGACGGTAGATCTTTTTATGACTCTAAATCTGAGGGTGCAAGGAAGGAGTCACTCTTCGCGATATAAACAAAAGTCAAAACATGACTCACTGTCGACTGAGCAAGCTTCGATAGTACCACATACAGGACCAAACTGCTGATTAGACTATTAAAACTATTAAACACATGGACAACAGTAACATAATATATTTTACCCTCTTTTGCTTACCATGATACCCTTAGCAATAGCCAATGCCCCTCTTCTTCTAATATGATTCCAGCTAAGATCTAGATGTCTGAGGGTGATGTTTTCTTCTATTGCTGGTCCAAGAATGGCTCCTGCAAGTTCACCAAAATCATTGTGGCTCAGATTTAGGTATTCCAGCTTCTTGTTATTCTGTATGAGATCAAGAAAAAAATAAAATTCAGGAAAGCATATTACAAAATAAACTTTTTCTTAAATTTGATTAGAACATCATCACATCATGTTTGCAGAGTTTCACCTGCATCTAATTAGAAGGTAAAACAAAATGAATGTGACATCGACTCCAATAATCAGCCTTCATCAAGTCTATTACTAACTTTTTAATTGCCTTTAAAACGATACTGAATTTTAGCAATGAAGTTGAATTTAATTGAAGAGCATCGCAATAGTTTAAAATCTAAAATTTTAGATTGGAAAAAAATAGTCAGCTATTTTTCAAAGGTCAAATATATTTAGAGTTGACTTTTTGAACTTTGAAGTCGTGTATAGAAATTGCAATTTAAAGTGATTTAAAGGGAAAACTCTCTCCTCTCAACTGTACCACCACAGTAAGTTGCAATCTCTCAGGTTGAATAACTACTTACCAGTATGACATCTGCAAAGGCGTCAGCTGTTTTATCCTCAAATCCATTCCCTTGACATAAGAGTAACACAATGTATAAATTAATCCGTATTCTTTTAAACCACATTTATCACCAAATCCAGGTCCTAATTATGAACCATATTGAGAATTCACTTAAAGGGCAAGTCCACTCCAAAAATAACTGACTTACAATAGAAGCAGAAAAACTAGACAAACCAATCAAAAAAGGTTTGAGCAAAATCGGATAGCAAATGAGAAAGTTATGGATTTTTGTATGTAAAACCATGGAACGATGGAAATCACTACACAAATTGCCAATTTGGTTATCAGTTTTTGACATCATGTCCTCACTATTCGTTAGTTGCTTTCTTTATTTTAATCCCATTAATTTCCCTTTTTATTCCCCAAAACTTGATTTCCCCATGCCTTTGCCCAGGTTATATGATTTGTATAATTGCGTGCATGACATTTCACAAAATCTTCTATGAACTTTGAAGAATAGATACTATTTTCTGAATATTGTAAATTCATAATTATGATTTTTATATAAATAGTTTATCAAAAATTCAAATTTTTCATGATTTAACAGATAAAAATTACTCTATATTGGTGCATCCACACAAAAACATATTACTATCGATCTAACTTAGAAATAAGATTCTTAGGGTGAAAAATAGGAAATTTATATTATCAATATAAGAAAACAATTAGTGGATAGTGAGGCAATGACGTCAGAGACTCATGAGTGAGTTGCCAATAGGTCTTGTGATTTTCAAAGATTTTGTGTCATCAAAAGTTCATACTTTCTTATTAGTTATCAGATTTCGCTCAAACTTTTTTTGATTGGTTGGTCTGATTTTTCTGCATTTATTGAAAGTAAGTTATTTTGGGGGAATGGACTTGCCCTTTAAATGTTAAGCCAAATATGGTAATATTCTACACAGAATGACTGGAATTTCACACTGGCATGAAGAAAAGATTTCTTTGAGCAAAAATCTAAATTTTTAATTTTTAAGTACAATTTGCGAGTACAAAGGTCGAGTTGAACCATTACTATATAGTCACAGCCAAAGGTGCTGTAATTGTGAACTTTGAAATGACTGCTAGCTTTAACTCTTTATCTGCATGTTTTCTCAAAAAATCACTCTTTCTTTCCATTTTTTTTTCTTCTTCATCTTTTTAAAATTCTTTTACTTCAGGCAAAATAACTTTTAAAGCAAGGCACAGGTTTCCATCAAACATGGAGAAGAGCCACTTCTAACATACGACTGTAAAATTGAATATTACCAGGGCCCCGTATTATAAAGATTTATGATTAAGCGGAAGTTGGATGAATCCAGCGGATATTTGACAAATCAAGCGGATCTCTTTAAATCAAGCGGAAGTTTGATAACCTGTATTATAAAGATTCATGATCAAGCGGAAGTTTAATAAATCAAGCAGAACTTCGACAAATCAAGCGGATCTTTGACAAATCCAGCGGATCTTTTAAAATCAAGCGGAAGTTTGATAACCCGTATTATAAAGAAAGTTCCGCTTGAAATCAAGCGGAAAATCCGGCGGATCTCTTATAATTGATTGTATCTTTCCGCTGGATTTTTATCAAGTGGTAAGTTACAATCAAAGATGGCAGCCATACTGCTAGTCCTGCAGGAAGAGGCCGGTAGGCAACTACGGAGGGAACAAGTCTTACGAGACAGAGTAGACCCTCTGGATAGGACCGACAGTTAAATCTGGCGGAAATACAGGTTCACAAGGGCTGGCCTACTCTATCTTGTGGATCAACTTGCCCCCTGCATTAAGTCATCCCACAGCCAGGAATTGTAGTTTAACAGTCATATCAACAGTAACATCTACCGCAGCTCCTTGAGGTGCGGTAAGTGTCGTTATTGCTTTGTTTTTCCATAGACCTGTGTACAAAATTGTTCAAATAAAGCAATTTTTTTTAATTTCCCATAGGCTGGTGTACAAATTCAGTATATTCTGCCATTCTTTTCACTAACTTCACATTATTCAACATCCATGCCATTCAAACCTCGAATCCGACAATACAGGGAAACATTCCTATATGTCATTAAGTTCACATCCATCTATCTTGCTTCTCTCCTTGAAAACAAGCCTTCATGTCCAATGAAGATAGACACCTCACTTGCATTGTACATGGAAATATCCATTCACTGATCTCCACACAAAGAACTATCCTGAAATGATGACAATAATTAACAGATCAATTCATTAGTAATTAAGTTAGGATTTTAATTCATTTGATCCCTTGCTCGAAGGGTTTACAGAAGAGCAGGGGGGGGGGGTTGCAGCTTGAGGTTCTTGAGGTTTCTTATCAAATTTAGAAGCTTAACTGTACCTTAAGGCTAATACCAGTTACATAAATCAATGCTTCATCAAGTGTTTATTACGATTTGTTCAAGCATGACTGGTCGAGTTTTGTGCAGTAGAGCTTCAATCCATTAATTTAGTACATTTATAATGCAAGTAGTCCACAGTCAGGAGGGTCACAGACTCCTCTACCTCCACTGTCTTATCTTGATTCCTGATGAGCCAGGTGTCTGATTACAGATGAACTTGAGAGAGGTATCCACATTGTTTTGGAGTTGCACGCTCCTTCGGCTGACTGCTCCTCTTTAGCCACTACTGAAGATAAGTCCACTTGCATCTTTGTAACCAATTCTGACAAGCTGGCTGTTTATGAACAAAAGATTAGTGGAAAGAAAAAAAAAACATTTTCAAATATATTGTACAAGCACTTTAAGATGTAAAGCTGACATCATCAGTGTATTTCTTCTCCTTTTTTTCTTCTACTTCTTCTAGTAATCTTCAAAAGGCTATTAGTTTTATATAATGTTGCAAAATTGTTTTTGAGTTTCTGATAGTATAATTATCAAATAAACATTTACTTTACTTGTATTAAAGAGATCTGTTGCAGAGCTAGAGCCATGAGCACCCCCTGAGTGTGTGTGTCCTCTATAAATTTACACTATTATTATTATTATTATCATTAATATACTGTTTGCTTGACAGGAGTACATTCCTTTTTTTGTCATGCTTTTTTTGTGCCGGTAAACAAACATATTTGTTATTTATTACACTTCTGGGGCGACTACCTCCAGGATATAGCCATATGCGATAATAAGGCCTTGTATTGCTAGGCTGACCACCCCCCCCCCCAAAAAAAAAAAATAATAATAATAATAATAATAACAATAATAATAATAATAATAATAATAATAATAATAATAATAATAATAATTATGATAATCAAAATATAAATAAATAATTTAATCAATAACCATTTCAATTCTAAAAAATCATCAACAAAAATTCCTATATTTTTAAAGGAGATTAAATCATTTTCTGTAGCCTTTCTTAATCACTAAAGCAAATGTTGAATGTAGACCGCTACTGTTGTCTAGAGAATATATTGTGAAAGTGGGATGGGTTGGTTGACGATTGCAACTGAGATTTCATGCTCTTCTATTGGGCAACTTACATGTACTTCAGACTCTGTCATCTGGCCTTTGAGCTTTAGACAGCAAGGTCCTCGTTGTGTCTACCATATCACCAAGAGCTTCTGCATTACATGTACAGGCACCTGTTTATATAGAGACATACAATGAATTCGCATTTATGGCATGTTCATGAAAGCACTCAAGATAATAATTATAAAGTGAACAGCAGGGTATGTTTTTGTAGAAATTTTAGAACTTTAAGTAAGGGTGTAATCAAATATCAACTTTGAACACCACCAGTATGTAGAAAGGGATTTAGGGTTACCTAACTTTGAGTCTGGCAATATTTTAATACATTTATGTTTTGCAATAGATCCAGAATTAAGGTTAATTCATTTTTGTGTTACAGCATAACCAGTAAACAATTGCCAATGTCGTAAAAATTGCATACATCTTTTAATTGGTATTGTCTCTATTTCTTTCCCAGATTGGTTAAACAACGTGTACAAATGTAATATTTATTATGAATTACCAGTCCATTGTGCTTTGCTCCTACAAGAGGCCATCGCTTTGAGGTAAAGGGCAGAAATTCAAGGCTGGAACCTCAAGGCACCCCATGATCTCTCGACAGGAAGCCGTCCTTTTCAATTCCTGGAACAGAATTATAAACATTTCAATAAATATTGACAATACATGTAAGAAAATACAAAAAGAAATAGCATTATTTAATATTTTAATGCATTATTTAATATTTTAATTTTCTTCAATGTGTACTTTTTTAGCAAATTCAAAGGTCAATTATGTATTCTTTTTGCTTGTCATTCCTTTCCATGTATTGGATTTCCCTCCCCCTTTCTACATGATCTGAACTACAAATGTTAATTCTAAAAAGAGATTTGAAATAAACACTACAGCAACTTGTTAGTAGACATCCATACTTCTTGATGCATACTGGCACATAGACACAGTGGCGGATGAAGCCCCCCCCCCCCCCTCCCGCGCTCAAGGGGGGGGGGGTGCAATTTTTCACATTTGCCAGGGCCCCCCCCCAAAAAAAATAATTTGTGCTCACTACCCCACCCCCACTGAGCGAATTATCAACCGGCGCGATTTCCAAATTTTATAAAAAAGAAATTAATGATCACTACCCCCCCCCCCCCACCCCCACTGAGCGAAATATTGGCTGGCACGATTTTCAAATTTTAGCACACTAAATTTCAAATTGATTTCAAATTTGGGCCCCCCCTTAGAAATCCTAGAAGTGCGCCTGCATAGACACCCCCTGTAAGGATCTTCTTAAACCAGCCCTTTGCATCCCCCTCCAACTTGGCCTCGACCTCCCTCATTTCAAAATTTTCTTTTACTTGACAAAACTATACAGATCAAATTATAAGATCAAAGGTAAATATATTTACCTACTCTCATGGTGCATGGTGGTCCGTTCTCTCCAGTCGACATTTTTGTTTCAAGCACATACTCAAAGAAGGCAAGCATTTGGTATGGCAACAAGTCTCTCTGTATGTTTTCCTGTAAAAGTGAGTGGGGAGGGGGGGGGGGGTAATTCTTAGAATTAAAAAATGAGCATGATCATAGCATTGCATGTGATGAGCATTTTCAAAAAATTGTTTTAAAAGATGCGTAAGACTCGAAAGAAGAAAAGTCACGAAAGGAAAACTTTAACGTAGGGTTAAGACAGCTGGGAGCCTCACAGTGAGTTAGGCCTAGACCTAGTCCATGCAATTACTGTCTGATTTTGTATTGTGACTAATTCAAATCTGGTCACTTTGTCATAAAATCAGTACTTGGACTAGATCTAGATCTAACCGTTCACTTTAGGTGTGTGTGTGTGTGTGTGTGTGTGTGTGGGGGGGGGGGGGGGTTATCGGGTACTGGGCACAAGGCATTGAGGGAGAGGGCGAATCACTTGAGGCATTCAAATTCAAGGGCAGGCCGGCCCGGTAGCAAAATAGCAAGGTTTAGTTACTGCAACAAAAGTCACTCTTACTAATACTAGTAAGTAGACCCCTCTAGATTCTAGGCCTATGTTTGCATGAGACTATGCAAAAAATAAAGATCTAGACTAGACTCTACTCTAGATCTAGATCACTCCAGCAAAGCAATTAATAATCTAGTCTGTGTGATCTACTTCCCACCCAGGGACCCGCTCTCACCGGATTATATCGATCACATTACTTCTACCATTGATGAACTACTAATTCGATATCCTGGAGCCGGAATATCCATAATTGGTGATTTTAATGACCTCGATATTGAGCCCTTTCTACAAGATCAACGATTTAAGCAAGTTGTACAGCAACCAACAAGAGGAGAAAATATTTTAGATATGATTATTACAAATTATTTATTATTATATCACTCACCTGAGATTTTATGTCCAATAGCTAATAGTGACCACAACTGTGTTTTGTGGCAACCACGTTTTCCTCAAGCTAACCGTTCAAATAAAATACGCAAAAAAATTGTTCGACCTTTGACGGATAGTGGTCGAAGGGTTTTTGGATCTTGGATAACCCAACATTCCTGGGAAGAAGCCTCCCAGTACGTGAGATTCGTTTCCATGAGGACGATAAACCTTGGATGACATCAGATATTAAGTCAACAATCCAAAACCGACAAAGAGCATGGTGCCAAGACAATAAACCACTGTGGCGTCATTTTAAGAACAAAGTTGCTAAAGCAATACCATTAGCTAAAAGTCATTACCATAATACCAGGATAACCAATTTAAAGAGAGATGATCCTGCTGGTTGGCATAATAAAATAAAAATTCTCACTCAAGGCAGAAAAGAACAGACTGCTGTAGACATTCCTGGAATTGACTCTAGTAATCCAAACTGCTATACTGAAACTGCTAACAAAATTAATGAACATTTTATATCTATTGCTGAAGATTTGCCTCATCTTGATAGCTCATTCTTACCTGCATACTTACCATCACCTGTAAAATGTCCTTTCATTGAATGTCAACAAGTTTATAAGTTGCTTAGTAAAATAAATTTACAAAAATCTAGTATAACGGGAGATTTACCAGTAAGAATTCTTCGTGAATTTTCTTATGAACTGTGTGTACCATTGGCCGATATTCTTAATGTGTCTTTTGAAACTTGTATTATTCCTAACTCTTGGAAACATGCACAAATCGTTCCTATACCTAAGAAAAATACACCCACAATTACAGATCTTAGACCGATAGCTTTAACAAGCCACTTTGCTAAAATTTGTGAATCCTTTATTGTTAAGTGGCTACTGGAAGATATTGAAGGAAAAATTGATATACATCAATATGGAAATCGACCAATGGTATCAACTTGTCATTATCTGATTAAATTGCTACACCAATTGTATGAAAATGCTGATTCACCCAAGTCTATATCTACATTAGTTTTAACTGATCTGTCTAAGGCTTTCGATCGAATAGACCACAACATTTTAATTAGAAAATTAATTGACTTGGGCGTCAGGCCCTGTGTAATTTCGTTAGTTGTTAACTTTTTACAAAATAGGACCCAATGTGTGAAATATAGAGGTACAATTTCTGACTCACAATTGATTCATACTGGTGTTCCCCAAGGAACTAAATTAGGCCCTGTACTATTTTTGATAATGATAAATGATGCTTGTAAAGATGAAATTATATCATATTATAAGTATGTTGATGATCTTACACTTGTTGAAAGTAGGAAATGTACTCAAATTTCAAGAATGCAAGAATCTCTTAATAACTTTCAACAATGGACTAGTGAAAATAATATGAAATTAAATGCAGCCAAATGTCATGCCATGGTTATTACTTTTATGAAACGACCACTAGTGTTTGAAAATTTACTTATTGGGAATGTTGAATTAGATGTAGTGAAATTTGCTAAAATTCTTGGGGTCATTGTACAAAGTAATCTCAAATGGGACTTACATATCAAAGATACAATGTTAAGGTGTAATAGGAAATTGTATATGCTCCGTAGATTGAAATCATTTAATTTTCCTCGCAATGACCTTTTAACTATATACATGGGATACATAAGACCAGTACTTGATTATTGTGTCCCTGTTTTTAATGGAAATATTACTCAAGAGCAAATATTAAATTTAGAACGAATTCAAAAGAGAGTCCTTAGAATAATATTGGGAGGTGACTATATAACATATGTCAATGCTCTTTCATTGTGTAACTTGATCACACTTGAAGCAAGAAGAAAACAACTTTGTGAACATTTTGTAATATCTTTAGAAAAACATCCTGTTTTTAATGATTGGTTACCGGTTAAAAGAGAAAATAGATATAATTTGAGAAACTCAAACAAATATGACACTTTTAAATGTAAAACGCAAAGATTTCAAAATAGTGCTCTTCCTTACCTTGTTCGCATTTTAAACAATATATAGTTTATTTTGTTATGATTATTTTCTTCTCCTATGTACAATTGTGTATTTGCTGGTTGTATATGCATGGGCATTCTCTGGGTGATGGGCGCCCTTTCCTTGTTGGTGGGATCTAATCTTAATTTATTGGGGGGAGGGGGTTGTTTTGATTAATTATTATTTTTTTGAAGGGGAAGGGGCCCACCTCCTGGACATGTGTGCCCATCACCACGAGAATGTCCACTGCCACTCATCACTTTTTAAACTTTTTAAAATTTTAACATTTACTATTGGTTTGTAACGTGCACTTTGCAATTTTGTTTGTATGTATCTATTTTCAATTATTTATTTTGTATATCTTTAAATGTAACAAATGTAACAAATGTGCAATTCAGCCTTTGACTGCGAATCATTTGATTAATAAACTCTTTTTGAACTTTGAACTTTGAACTTAGTCTAGGCCTAGAACTTTAGACCAAATTTTTCGTCTCTTTCGTTCGTTAAGCCTCTTATTTGGGTAGGGTCGGCTCTCTCTCTAAACAGAGAGCCGACCCTAATACCCAAATAAGAGGCTTAACGAACGAAAGAGACGAAGAGAGAGCCGACCCTACCAATTAAGAGGCATAACGAACGAAAGAAATGGAAAATTCGGTCTAGTCTAGGCCTAGATCTAGATCTAGATCTTTATTTTTTACGTAGTAGGCCTAGATCTAAACGAGTCTGACTTTAGTCTTTATTTTACTTTAATTTAGGCCTAAAGTAAAGTGTAGACTTCTACTCTAGAACCTAGTATAGTAGTAGACCTCTATGACTAGACTCCAGGTCTAGAGTAGAAGTTATGACTTCTCATTCTGTTGATTTCTATTTTAGTATTTAGAACTAGATCTAGGCTTGACGCCTTGAGTCTAGAGTCTAGAGGTCTAGGGTCTAGTGAAATCTAGACACTATCTTGGTTCTTTCAGTTTATTGCAGGAGTTGCTGTTTCGATAGTTAGGTTGCAATAACACTGGATTTTCGGTTCAAAATTAATTAAACCCGACAGCCAACGGCCAACTCCGGATGCTGCATCGGATGACAGTAGTGACTGATACCAAAGTGCCCGGCACTAGCCCAGGCGCTACATGCAGCTTCCGCTTTCGACTCTTGCCGACTGCAGGCCGCACGAAACTGGTCAATCACTCGCAAACGAGCTATCATAATCTATCTTTGTTTAACCGCCAGAAAAGTATTACAAAATGAACAAGTAAATATATGTCGAGTTATGAATATTATTCTTCGTATTGGGTAATAAACATGACTTGTACTTACGGGATTGCTACGAAAAACCATTTCCCAGCACAGAAATTGGGTTCATTGTCGCAGACGATGGTAGACGATGGTAAACGACAAGTGAAGCAAAGTAGAGCTACTGCGCATGAGCCAAGTCGTAGACTCGCCGCTAGTCGCCTCTTTAATTATAAACTATAGTTTTTTAACCGCGAATCCATTGTAACTCACGCTTGATTTCCTAGGGCGTTTAAATACGGAAATCGGCTATTGAGTTACAGTTGATTGTGAGATACGCTGGATTATAATGATGAATCCAACTTACGCTGAATCTTTATAATACGGGGCCCATATTGCACACCATCAAGAACTATCTACATGTAGTGTTACAAATGCCAAGTATTGCAAACTGGTAAATATGTTCAGCTAACAATTGTCACTGAATGCAGCTGAGAATGACAGCTGAAAAATATCTCTCTAAAACCTAAACACAAAATCAACTCTACACCATATTTAACAATTTAAATTCATTACATGTTGTTTCTTCAGAAGGGTTACAAGTCTGGAGGTTTCTTTTTCAGAAGGTTCGTAATTCCAAAGGTCCACATATTTCTGAAGATGAAAAAGGTTCATTATTTCCAAAATGAAATAGGACCCTATAGCCTTTTCTGAATGATGAACCTGCAGAAAAATGAGTAACACCCTTAATTTTGTTTTGTTTAAATAAGTACTGAGATACTCCTGTGGTCCAAACAGGCACGTACACAGGGGGGTGGTTTGGGGGTTAAACCCCCCCCCCCCCCCTCAAGTTTTTTTTTATGTGTATGTTTTATGTATGTTATTTTGGAAACCCCCCCTCCCTTTTGATTTATTTTTTATTTTTTATTTTTTTAAATAAATTAAAACAAAAAACAAAAAACAAAAAACAAAAAACAAAACAAATTGCCAATGGCTAACCTTAAAAAGGTGACCTTACCCCCCCCCCCACTGGAAAAAATGTCAAACTTTCAAATTTTGAGACCCCCCCCCGCTTATTCAGCGGCTGGCGGAGTCGTTGCGATTTTTTGGGGCCCGGTTTGAACCCCCCCCCCCCCCTTGAAGAAATCCTGCGTACGCCTCTGGGTCCAGAAATACACATACCTGATAGAGTCACATGGGTTAATGTACTGTTCTGAAGAAGCATATCTGAAACAGCAATAGCTCCAACACTTCCCAGTCGGTTTTCTGACAGATCCTTTATAAAATGCAAATTAATTAGTAAAATAATTAGTGGAATTCACATTTTCTTTTTTTCAAATAATTGGCAATTTTTTTTATATCCAATACGTTCATGCTCATTAAGAAGACAATGAAATGCAATTTTGGAATGAGTGCATGCATGCATACTCTAAATAACCTGAGAAGAACCTTTTTTTATACAGCCAAATCTGTATGTAAATAGTGACCACCTCTTAATAAAGCCCACCTGTGTATAATGGCAATATGTATTTTCTTCTACGAGAAAGAGATGTGTGTTGTAGAACGTGTCTAGAAAGTTGTCTACAGAGGCCACCTGTTCTCTTTCTCTTGGGTGCACGACGTTTGACTGAATATCTGCCTAACAAGATAATATTCTTCAAATCATTTTTTCAATCAATTCACAGCGCATGACAATTCAGGAGAGTGCATGGAATGAGGGATGCATGCATGGGGTTGTTCCTATCATTCACCCGTATCATGCAGCTCACTCACACAGGGGATATCGACTCACCACTTGAAATCTAGCCTGTCCAAATTTCTGTTTGGACTCAGAGGAAAATTTCTCTGTCATCTAAGTTTTAAAAACATGTTACTATTATTTGTGACAAGTTCACAAGCACTTCAACTGCGCCTCGTAATGAATAAAAGTCCTTCCCTGCATGGCTTGCTTGGGTTTCTGAACGGTATACCTTTAATACCGAACGCTGAAATAAGACGCGATCTGATCTGGCTTGCTGCCTTCATTGCGTCTTATACACAGAGATTTACGGTACCAGTTTAGCCTCTTGGGAGAGCCAGCAAGGTCCTGGCATAAAACAAATCATATGCAATAAGCATAATTCTGCACCAGCTTAGGGTGTATTATGCTTACTTTTGAAAGCAGAATGAGCATTTTGAAACGCTTATCGTAAATGTTGCAAAAATTACAGTCAAATCATATTATGAATGGAACGTCAGGAATGATGTCGGTTTTTTGTATTTTTAATACTTACTAATTCAGCAATGTAGCAGTTTTCTTTCAGCATATCTGATATTGCAATACCACCCTCTGGATCCAACCAATTATCACTGATATTCAGCTTAACGATTGTAGTGTTGGTCTAAAATAAATCAATTAATCACAAAAACAAGTTAAAGCACACCTTGAAACTGTTATACAAATAATGCACTGTTGCAAGTGTGTTAGGGCAGGGCCAGTGCACAAAGTTTAGTCAGTGCCCATAAAGTGATAATGCAAGCGCCCGCAGGGCAAGTGCGTTATTGATTTTTCCCTAAAAATGATATTTTTTAAACAATTAGGAGAGACATTAAGTGCACAGATTCTTACTTTTTGCTCCCCTTTATCTTTCTGTTTTTATTTCACAGAAAATATTCTTCAGGCAAAGAAAAAGTGAGTAATTTTCTACAGTATATTAACCCTTACTGTACTGGGGGGGGGGGGGCCTAGGAGGCCCCCCTCGACATTTTTCGGAGATCGCGCCGCAACTGCTCGGAATTTTGAATTGTCGTTTCATGATTTTTTTCCTCAAGTCTTACGCACATTTTGATACCATTTTCGTTGAAATCGGATATACCTGTCAGGTGTTACATAACAATTAGTATGCGCATGTCATCAAAAAAGTGCTATAATTGCATATATTCATGTACAAGCAGATAAGTGAAGATATGAATTGATATCAAATTGCTTTTATATGTTTCTCAAAGTAACTTGATGTATTTCAGAACAAAATTATACATTAGAAATAAAACAATAGATATAATAAGAAATAAAAAACAATAAAATACATAAGAAAATAAATAGTTGAAAATCGCATCAAATTTGCATAAATTATCTTTATTAATTACATCAAATAACCATTTTGTGTTAGAAAAGAAGTTTCATATGAATAATGAGTTTCAACATTCAAAAAGTGGAGTCTGACAATTTTTGTAATGATTCTAGTTCCCTATATATATTTCCAGATTTGATATTCATGAATGCGTATTCATAATTTATGCAAATTAAGCTATGCATTTTCCAATATCATAAAAATAATGAAACCTCATGAATTTGAGATGAAGGAAACAATTATTCAATACATTTTCTAGATTTTTCACAAGTCTACAGACAAATATGTAGAGTTTTCTGTAAAATGCATAAAATTAGCATTTTGCATAATTAATTAGGCTATAACCACAAAAATTTGCATATTAGGAAAAAACTAATTAAACCATCTTGTTCCTTACGTAAATATCTACAAACATGCAAATTTTCGCGTTCATCGGACATTCGACGGCCGAGATCATAGGGGGGGGGGCCTCCCAGGCCCCCACCCCCCCCCCCCCCCCCCCCCAGTCAGAGAGTGCTCGAAATAGCCCAGTACAGTAAGGGTTAACAAAACAAAATCCAATGAGTATAGTGCTCAGCCTCTGAATGAGACAAACTTCAACATATTTTTTAATATAGCCTAAAAGAATTCAAATGAAAACCCCATCAAAATTTTATGAGCTAATTAACTTATAATCATAAATATAATAATAATAATAATAGCCTAATAGTCCACTCCAAATTTTATTAAACCGAAACGGAAATTCTTTTTGCCCAACTGATCATGAGCTGGCAGCCACTGAGCAGCGCCAGATCAACGTTGCTCTATCCCTTACTGTTGAATGCCAAACAAGGTAGCAACAACTCCCATCTTTTAACGTCTTTTGGTATGACGCGGCCGGGGTTCGAACCCACGACCTCCCGGTTGTGAGGCGGATGCTCTACTGACTGAGCCAACATATGAATTGGGTCTTGGACAACCACTATATGCTGTGATGCTCCCCGTTACTCAAGTATTAATTTCCATCAAAGCTTTTCAGTAAACCTGGGTCATGAGTGGCAGATGGAGATTCATGTCTTGGCAAAGCTCATTAGTAGTGCTATCCAATGGCTTGAACCATTCGCCATTCGGAGGAGGCGAGTTTGCTTAGTGGGTAAAGCGTCTGCCTGTCGAACCATAGATCTCGGGTTCGAATCCACCGGGGCAGATGACTAAAGTCTGCATTGTGTGTTAGCGTGTTTCATAGACGCAGGCTATGTTAAGTGGAATACACTCTGCCCTTCAGATAGGATGTTAAATGGAGGCCCCGTGTAGAGGAGAGTCACTACCTTTGCACGTTAAGAACCCATTGCACTATTCGTATAAGAGTAAGGGGACACCCCGGTGTAGTACGTAGTCCACCTGCACACCCTAGTATATCTGCAAGAATCTTCAATATTGAAGGAGACAGATTATCCATAAGAAGAAGAACCCATAACCCTCATCGATGACATGCATATACAAGCAAAAGTGAGAATGAAGCCACTTACAACCAGTGCAATAGCGATGGCCTTTGCTCCCCCTGGACCTAATCCATGATGTTTCATAACAAGCTCTGTGTCTCCTATGTGACGAAGGAAGTACGAGACCGGAATCACGCCATTGATTCGACACGCCTCCTTGTACGTGGTGCGACCTGAAGGATCATAATCCTCACGTGCCTCTAAATAGATTAAAAAATGGGGAAGAAGAGTATTAAGAGCAGTCAGGATGCAACTTTTCTGGTATAACAAATTAAATTAATATGCATTATATATCCTGCATCAAAAATCCATTGGTTTTTGATTGGCTGAGAGCTCTTCGGGTGACCAGAACTATTATTTGTGAGAACTATTAGGGAGTTTAAAATTTAGCGAGCGTACAGGATATAAAATGCCTCCAACGGGCAACTCCTGCGGTGTCAGGGCGCTTAATTACGCCGTGCAATCTACGCTGAGCAGCTGAAGGATGTAAATATATTTGAAACACTGTTCGTTAAACATTCAAGACACTGTAAAATATGGTAATCGTTAACTTTAGAGTTGGATGAATTTGGGTTCATAAAAAAATCTGTTGGAAACCTCAAGACAGGCCCGGAGCAATTATAAAGGTGAATTATTCTGCTGGATTATAAATTTTTGATGTAGGATATGAAACAAATATATCCTACCTTCTTTTCAAGGTATTGGTGACCCAATAGCACTCTTGGAGTCACCTCTTGCCCGTAGTTTTAACCAAAACCAGTGTATATATGTTTGTATACTATCTTTGAACTTGTTACATATTACAGTATTTTAGCCTTTCGAAAGCCAAAAGGGTATTATCTAAAATGCTGAAAAACAGAGTTATCGCTCTTCTAGCTCTCAAGAGATGAAACCTAATAAAATGTATATTTCAATCGCTTTACAGAAACATTGTATCATCTTTTGCTTTTCTTCAAATGTTGTCACTAGCTTTAGTATATGATGGCTTAATCATCAATAATTATATTCGTCATAAGCACTTGGTTATATCATTAGACTACTGTGTGTTCTATCATATTCATCCAGTATTTTCATGCAAATGTAACTGTAGTCATATTTAAATGTCATCCATAATCCTATGCATAAATCCTATAGCCCAGATAAGTGTCTAATAATTGAAACAAAGGTGACCAAATACCTCTAGACATGCCATTTTTTCAAAGAAGAATTAAACAAAATCTGTATAACTGTAATCATGAGCAGGTGAGTTTTAAACTAAAATTTTGAACAGTATTCATACTATTTAGAAAGAACTCTAGCAGCTGATAAGCCTGGGATGAATTGCTCTGTATCTGCCTGCCCAAAAGCTGAATAAAATAAACAAGTAAGGAAAGTCAAATATTTATGTCTAAAGTGTTTGTATCAATATTTTTTGAAAAATGGTGCCTTTTCACTTCAATTTAATTCAATTTGATTCATTTATTTTTCAATCTTAACTTTATCCTTTTACCTGCATACATTGTATGCAAATAATAATTATATCAACTTGTTATTAGTTAATTGTTATTGCAAATTTTATTAGTCTTTAATATAACTACATGTTTCTACAGTGTACGTCAGCCTTTTGGCTATTTTGGTTTTATTTTTTTCTTTATATCTGAGAAATTACAGAAATGGCAATAAATTTACTAAAAATTGGTTAAGTCACTCAGGTTTACACTTCCAGTTACAGATTGATTTAGTAATAAATTTATTCTAATTGATTTTTGTTTTTTTTTCGTTAGAAGTTAGAAAATGTTGTGATAAAAAAAAGAGATTTGCATAGACCATATTGTTAAAATATAAATACACTGTAGTTGTGAGATGGATTAAGAAGTTACAATGTACAGGGAATTAGAAAGTGAGACAGACAGAGAGATATAAAAATACCACCCAGAGAAGAACGATAGGGGGGGGGGAGAAGACTTTAACCTACTATCACAAGTTTCTATGTGAAACTACTTTTAACACCCGTAAATATGAAAATGTCATTATTATAGCTGATTTCACATGAAAAGAAACAAAAAAATTCATAATTCAAGATATTCATTCTATTCCTATGATAATCAAAAATGTATTATTTTCTAGTCCTGAATCGTAATCTTTCCAAGACAAAGTTTAAGATGGCGGTCTCCTGCATTTTCAGTTTTTGATTATTTGATTTACTATTTGATTGATATATATTATGATATGATTATATGATGTTCCTACTTTGCATATTACTCATTATCATATTGAAATATGCATAAACAAAAGCAAACAAACAAACAAAAAGGAGAAGGTTCTGTTTATTTTGCTTCAATATTTTTCAAAGACATACAAATACTTCATGTCCGGTCTCAATCCCAAACACAACTATATGACACATTTTGTTTGTGTACAACAGGGATTCAAATCCACTTTTTTTTTTTAAAGGTATGTATGTATGTATCATATGTACTTTGAATAATCCTCTCAATGTAAAAGTAAACTTCAATTCACCAATTTTATCAAGTGGTGTAAATAAATACACATATTGGATGGTGAATATCAAGGGCTGCCCACTAGCTTTAGATCTTCCTTTTCTGCAGATTAATTCCTACAAACTTTGGTTAGAATCCAGCCACAGGTTTCAAGAAGAAGAAAATATGCAATTACTGATGCTGAGGAACTTTGGGGGCACTGCCCCCAGGCTCCCCTTGATCTCCCTTGCCCAAGGCTGGATTTTAATCCAGCCATGCGTTTTTAAGAAGAAGTTGAAATAGTAAAAAGTTTACGGACAACGGACAAACAGCGATCGCAATGGCTCATTTGAGCCTTGGGCTCAAGTGAGCCAAAAATATTTATCAAACATGAGCTAGTAAGAATCATGAAAATTAAGTGCAATGTCAGCTTACTTTCCTACTTGTTATTATCAAGCATTATCAAGCTTTGAGATATTGATATATCTGCATAAAGCCCATTGCTATATTACATTTAAGAAAGGATGCAAAGAATTGCATTTTATGCATTTAGTTTCCACATCAGATTTATTACATGGTAGAATTAGTTTTCCTTTCACCGCCACAGACAAAATCAGAAGAGAAAAAAAAGCCACACACCATGCTAAGTTACTTTGTTAGCGTACATAATAAAGGAGAAAGGAGTGGAACATTAATTATCTTCATGAAAGTTAGTGTTCGGATAAGTAAACAGATAATAGGTCTATACTTCCACTGATACAATTTACAAAGAAAGCTAGCCATCTCTAGCTAAAATAACTTCCATAAAAAAATGTTTGTTACTTTACTGAAAATGTGCACTACCTTATATTCCTCTGTTTACTCTCCGCTCCCCCTCTCTCCTCCCCTTCTCCCCTCCCCCCCCCCCCCTCTCTCTCTCTCTCTCTCTCCTGAAAATGAATTTAATTGAAAATTCATGCCAATTTCATTTTATCATTCAAAGTATTGCCCCTAAACTCAATCAGAATGCATTAAAGGTAATACAAAGTTTTGGTATCAGGTCATGAATTTGGTTCAATAGAACATATTGGAAGCATATGCGATCCTACAATACCAAATTATCGTTGTGGCAGTTGAAATTGAGTCTAAAGTGATAAAATTGTAAATAATAAACTATTTATGTTGTATAGCTCCCTCTCAAGGTCAAGATATTAATTTAGCTAAAAACAATGTTTGGAAATTATATAGCTAATTGCAGCTACTATTGTATGGCCGTAGTCGCTATATTAAAATTATCAAAATTTACCGGGAGCACCGATAAATTTTGATATTCAATTTTTCTCCAAAGCAGTAGTGTTTTAGGGGCTAAATTTTCTAGTGCTTATAATACATCCACAGGGGCATCCAAATATATCCAAATTGTAAAGGATTACTATTCATCCAATTTTTTAGAATTTCCCAAAACGTTGCATTACCTTTAAAGATACTATGTCCCTTTTCAGCCAACATCAAATTCTGTAGAACTTTGCATGAATTAGGAATATGTCATGTATGTCCTATCTGGGAAATTTAAACGTTAGCAGTGTCCTAATATTCAAATTATGCAAGGAAACCTGTTTACTTGCTAGACTTCACTGTCAGATTTCATTGAGTGACTGACTGGCATTTCTTCCTCTTTGGTAATAACATACATAAAATGAGCTGTAAAGGAGTACATGTGCATTTGTCTACATCAATAACCCATTTCTTGTAATGGCCAAAAATAAACTGATTGAATGTTTGCGCAGCATAAAACGTACGACCATTCGGTGCAATGGTCTGAAAATCAGATTATTACTTACTGGCTCTATAGCTCTTAAGTCGATTCGACAATTACTAGTTGTTATTTTCCAAATTATAGACATTTTCAAGCCCCCTTTTTTTGGGGGGGGGGGGTTCTAAATTTTTGGGAAGTTCTAAATTAGTATTATCTTTCAAATGCCGTTGGCATTTAACATTTTCATTTTTTGGGCCTGCAAATGGGACATAATACCTTTAAAAGCCTTTTTTAAATCAAAAGTACATGGCAAAATTTGGTTTGATTCGCAACCAAAACTCATAGAAATATGCTTTAGTTTAAATGTTTTTTCTCACTAATTCTGGATAATACCTAAATAATACATATTTAACATGTTTAATTTAGTATCACTTTAATATGTTGCACTAATATTTTACCTTCACATGTAGTACTACCGCCACCTTCACTGACTATTTATATTTATATTATGTTGTCTACGTCTAAAACTTCTCTTTTTTTCTGCTAGCTGGTACAGTGTATGTAGATATTGTACACTCTAATAATGTTTGTACTAACTACACAAAATAAACCAGTGATAGTTTCCAAAACGAGCCAGTTAAAGAAAAAAAAAATAATTACGATGAAATATTTTCACTATAATTTGATAAGAAAACAAAATGTTTCCCCAAATCATAACTAGTCAGCATGAAATATTTTTGTGTAAATTTAAATCTTCTTTAATATCTTCTTTCCCTCATGAATACAAGATTATTTTATAGTTTGCACTTCTATGTCAAGAGAAATGCAATATATTTACATATGACTTTCAAGCTATTACTGTATTTTTACTCATGTGTGTATATATGTTATGCTAAAGTAGTCTTTTCATAACATGTACTTTTATATATTGTACACTGCGTTTTGGATGATAATATTATACAGAACCCAATTTTATCATGTCAGAATTGTTAGATTAAATATAATCTGTCATAATTCAGCCATATTAGTTCATTGTTGAGGTCACATATAAAGTATGCCCTTGATATTGATATTCCTAATTTTGCATTATGTTATGTTTTTGGTTGTTAGCACAATTACACTGTATTAAGTAATTGGTCCTCTGCATTAGATTAAACAAATATGTTAAATGTTAGAAAAGAAACCATTTCATTGTTCTTACTCCTTCTCATTTCCATTATTGTAGCTGCAAAAAAAAGATAAAACAGCAATGCAAAAAACAGAGGTATTGTTAATCTCCAAACTTTGATGCTCAGAAACACATCTTCAAAAAATATTATTTTGAGAAAATAGCAGCCACGTAAGGGATTGTAAAACAAACATTGAAATGAATGTGAAAATTAGAAGAGGCATGTGATAAAGAAATTCCATCAGAATCATCCAGAATCACACATGATACATTTTACAGTGTGTAATAATAAGAATTTAATAATAATATATAAAATAACAATTTATAACGACTAATTATGATAATAGTACAAATATTTTGTTCTTCTGTAGGGTATATCACATCATAATAAAAGCTAGCTCACTGTGTGCTTTCAAAGGATTGTGAACATTGTTACTACGCCTATAATTCAACCCTTTTCTTATGATGACGTTCCACTGTATTTAAGTTGCCATTTAAACATATTAATAAGCCATATATCAAATAATATTTGTAAAAAAACACTCTTGAAATTGAAATGTCACTTAATCCATCATTTGTAGATTATGGGAAACAGGTCTTTTTTTGTTTTAAAGGAAAGAAAAAAGAAAGGGAGAAAAGATAAAAAGGTACACAGTACATACCTTCAATTTCTAGATCTGTATCAAAACCACAGGTGGTTTCACTAGAGAGAGAACGCTGAGATGCTGCCCTCTCCTCATCCTCCTCGTCATTGACTGAAAGATGACTATCAGGGCGGGATCCTGATCGGCTCCCTGTACGACTTATCGTCTGAAAAACAGTGCATCAAAAAGGCAACATGTTCCAAATAATTAAAATAAAGGGCAAACCATCCTTCGTAGTAAGTTAACTTGTATGAAACAGCTAAGAGAAGCAGAAGGGTAAAAGTTTGACATAAATTGAACAGATATTAAGAAAGTTATGAATGTTTTGAATATAATGTTACTAAATCAAATTGGCTATAATCATAGCCAGAGAATGTGTTATTACAATTATAGCATATTTGATTTAATAAAACAAAAACAGACCCAGTTATTGATAGACTAAAAAGGGAATACGATCGAGACATTAAGAACATATTCTTATTCAATGAAGTTAAGGTCCACTCCCCAATATCGCAATGCATCCTGGGTATGAGGGGTGGAGCTTAGCAAGCTTGAGATCTGTGAAAAATGGATGGTTATCTTTTTTTGGTCAATAAAGAGATCTTCTGAAAAATCTTAGGCTGGAATATTAATAAGTAGAGGTGTACTCATGTTTTGAAGGCTAAGTGGTCAAAGTGGAACTTTAAGGTCCACTCCCGATGTATCCTGGGTACACCAGCTGCTATAGAATAATTAATCCACGCTGATTCGTTCAATCACTTCCATCCCCTGCGCGCAGTGTGATGAATAAATTACCATAATTACGTACATTAGGCAATTTGACCTCTCTAATTACGCTGATACGTGTATTGTTTTTTACCATGTAGTGAACATCATTCCAGTACACTTTGCGCGGGGAGCATCCTACAGAATGCATAATTCATAAGGGCTTAATTTGGCTTCTAATGGATCCGTACAAAATGGCGGAGCTTAGGGGGCCTGGGAGTACCAGTACGACACACATACATATAGCTGCCTGCATCACTATCCTGGCTGTGTATTAAAAGCTGTGCTATTGATCCTCAACATTTCAAACACCACTGTACACAACTCAACTGATTTCACTAAAAATCAGTACTTTAGTGACAATTGATGACACCTAAATACATGTAGCAGTAAAATACAATTTGTTCAACTTACCATTGTTAGAAAGAATAATTAAAAAATTCAAATTGTATTAAAGTCTACAGTCAACCTTTCCGATCAACCACATCATCTTCATTGTGTACATTAGTGTGGAATGAGTGTATTGACTATTCATGTGTGCAATTGCTGCCTCTTACATGTAGCATTGACTCTCTATGCTTTGCTGGAGTGGAGTACGAGTGGTTTAGTCTAGACTAACGTTAGATCTGGTCCAGGCGCGAATCCAGGATTTCTTAGGGGGAGGGGGGGGGGGGGGGGGGGCCTTAATTTGAAATTATGCGAGCCATATATTGGTATGTTATGGTGACACCGGCAGTGGCAAAAACATTTTTTTTTTTTTTTGGGGGGGGGGGGGTTAGACAAAAAAAATCCCTATCACCCCACTCTTACATGCAGGCCCGGCTGAACGTTTCTCGGCAGGGGTCTAGGGGCGGAGCCCCCAGAAGCTCAGGGGGTATAGGCATTTAATTACTGTCAGATGAGCATATTTTGATACCTTATTTGTGACAATGGCAGGACACAAATTGGTGTTGGGTCCAGGAGGCGGAGCCCCGAGAAGCTCAGGGGTTTTATACATTAAATTACCGTCAGATCAGCATCCAGGTGCCTGACTGAGGAGGAACACTTTTTTTGTTGCTTTCTTTAGCACACACACAAAAAAAAAAAAAAAATTGTATCCCTTTTTTTTTGCCAGGGAGGGGGAGGGGGCCCGGGCTCCTGGCCCCCCCCCCCCCCCTGGATTCGCCACTGATCTGGTCTATATGTTATCACGAGTCTCACTCTCAGTCAGTTGACAATTTACATAAGGTCTAGATTTACATAAGATCAATTCGCATTAGCATTGACTCTCTATGCTTTGCTGGAGTGGAGTATGAGTGGTTTAGTCTAGACTAACTTTAGATCTGGTCTATATGTTATCATGAGTCTCAGTCAGATGACAATTTACATAAGGTCGAGATCGATCTACTGGTCTGCTTCTGCCTAAGCCTTGCAGGCGCCTCTGGCCCAAAGTAATAGTGATATGGGTTTGATGTTACTGTGGTCACAATTTTCAGCGCTTGTTCAGACTGGAACTGTGAGTGTGTGACCATATTTTTGTTGTATCTCGACCCGTGACTCCATAGTGGAGATACCCTACTGTAACATACAAAACTAGATGGAATTTTGACTGCCCGCAGTCGAAAATGATGCCTCCGCCATAGAGCAATTTAAACAAATTTGGAGTTTAAATCTCCAGTGGTTCTTGAGATATCATGATAACAATCTCAATGTATGGAATTTCATAAGTTGACCTCTGTGACCCTTGACCTTTGACCTACGTGCTCCAAAATCTACTCAGATTGTCTTCCTATGGTGATACACACTATCATTAAGTTTGAAGTTTAAATCTCCAGTGGTTCTTGAGATATTATGATATGGTGATACATACTATCATTAAGTTTGTAGTGAAAATTCTCCAGTGGTTCTTGAGATATCGCGATAACGATCTCAATGTATGGAATTTCATAAGTTGACCTCTGTGACCCTTGACCTTTGACCTACGTGCTCCAAAATCTAATCAGATTGTCTTCCTATGGTGATACACACTATCATTAAGTTTGAAGTTTAAATCTCCAGTGGTTCTTGAGATATTATGATAACAATCTCAATGTATGGAATTTCATAAGTTGACCTCTGTGACCCTTGACCTTTGACCTACGTGCTCCAAAATCTAATCAGATCGTCTTCCTATGGTGATACATACTATCCTTAAGTTTGAAGTTTTTACATCTCCAGTGGTTCTTGAGATATCATGATAACAATCTCAATGTATGGAATTTCATAAGTTGACCTCTATGACCCTTGACCTTTGACCTACGTGCTCCAAAATCTAATCAGATCGTCTTCCTATGGTGATAAATACTATTCCCGAGTCTTAAGTTTAAATCTTAAATGGTTCTTGAGATATTGTGATAACGGTCAAACGGGACGGACGTACGGACAACCCGAAAACATGATGCCTCCGGCACCACCTTCGGTGGCGGAGGCATAAAAATCAACTAAATCCTCAACAATTGCTCAAAAAATGGTCATGATTTAAAAGTTTTTATCTTTCATACCTGTTTTGTGTCAATTATCTTATCTGTTTCGGAGTATTTTTCCTAAAACAAAGACAGTATGCATTTTCAACGGTGTTTGTAGTTGAAATAAAATCATGCAATCTTTAAGAATTTATTAAAAATCAAAATTGGCAGGAAAGAACTTATTGATTAATATTTACCGTAGATTAGTGTTTTATTCCAATATTCCAATAAATCTATTTCCTTATGAGTAATGATTTCAGTCTACTGTACAAGACTAGAACGAGATCCAAAATTCATCTTGCAGCACTCAAAACACAACACAGAATCTATATCAACGTATGTACATGTACTTGTATCTGTATCTCTCTCTCTCTCTCTCTAGCTACCGTATGTAACACGTCTTCAAATCATGACACGTTTTTCCATCCTAACTTCTTAATGGGTGTATAGACTGTTATCCAGTCATTTTTACTGAAAAATCTTTTAAAACACTTAATTCTCATACATAATTTACTGCACGAGCTCGACACCATGTCTATTGCTGTGAGAATTAGGGACTAGGTGTGAGACTACGCTACAAATGTTCTGTCATGTGATCTCATCGCAGTTCATACATATTCATATTTTTATTGCGCAACGTTTTTTCATCTATTCTTGGCTTGAAAATGATGTTACCTTCCACAGTTTTCTCTCTCATTTTGAGATGGCTATAGCTACATGTGGCTCAAATCAACGCAAGATTGACATAAACATCGTCTTCTATCTATATTTTAATGTCCATTTCATAAAAATCTGTATTTTAAAGATATCATCTTTTTTGTTTATATTTTCTAGTTGTTAAAAGTGGCATTGTTGGACATCTGACATGTTAAAGGGAAAGTCCACCCTGAAATTAAGTTAGTTTTAATAGGAGTAGAAAAATGAGAGAAACAAGTCTGTGAAAGTTTGAGCAAATTCCGATTAAAAATAAGGAAGTTAGGATTTTTGAAGTTGTGATCAATCAAACACAAATTGGCAACTCTATGACGTATCATGCGAGCTCAACTTCCATTTGCTCAGTACTAAAAAAATCTAAAATTTTCATTTTCCCTCAAGAAAAATTTCAACCATACATGCACCCTAAATATAATAATTGCAAATATGTTTCGTTACTCCCCCTGCAAGGAACAAATATATATTCCGTCATCAATAACGAAGAAAACATGATTTTATGGAATATTATGCACAAAGCAAATGAAGGAGAGCTCGTATGATAAGTCACAGAGTTGCCAATTTGTATTTGATTGATCACAACTTCAATAATTCATTACTTTCTTATTTTCATTCAGAATTTGCTCAAACTTTCACTCACCTGATTTTCTTATTATTCTGCCTCTATCGAAACAAACTTATTTTGGGGGTGGACTTTCCCTTTAATCGCTATCAAAAGTTCTTTGACTGAAGTTAGATCCTTTATTTTTACTTTAGGGTCTACCTCACCTGTTGCCAATTAATGGGAAGAATTTTAGTGACCGACCTACCAGGCCCTCTGGAACATGTCATGTATGTATATTATGTATAACTATGAATATTTTTCTCCTATTTACAGTTATCAAATTTGTTATGACTTATTTCTAAATGCGAAATTTACGGACTTACGTATATGAGTTCAATTTTTATCTCAGAACCATGAAACGGTACATTCATGCATTTGAACTGGTAATCTATGACATGACCCGGCCGATATATTTCAGGGTCAACCTACAAAAACATAGCCAATGGCCAATCAGAGCACTTGTTTAATATTGGGTTTAATATTTATATATCACTGGGTCAAGCTGGGCTGACTCGTACGTAGCTATTGGAAGTTCGAAAAGAAAAAATGAATATTCCTCAACTAAAACCAAGATGGCTGACAACGAATCATGTGACTACGAGACTTTCTTGGATTAATCATTAATTTAGGATCTAAATGAGCAAGCTATTGTAAGTCAAAGTAGATATTTCTGTGTTATTTTTTATCTTAAATAATTAGTGTAATATTACAGCCAAATTGGATAAATGAAGACGTAAAGAGTGAAAAACTTGTTGCATATCTCATTCATCGCGGTCTGGCCGAACCAACCCATTTGTTCCACTCAGTCCCCATAAGACGTACTTCAGTCTATGTATAGAGGTGGTCAGAGAAGCCAGATGCAATCTCAGCGGAACAACCGTCGTTATAAAATGGCTCTAGTATTTTAAGCATCGTGATTGGTCAAAACGTGTCACATGACATGCACCTATTTTTGATGCATGCATGATCATGCAATAAAAAGCGCTGTAAAAAGTTATACACGCTAATATCGATATCCAGCGCAGCGTACAGGTAGACTTTATCATTGTACGTTCCATCCAGTGCTAGTGTACGCGTAGCTAGTAGTATTGCACGCTCCATCCATGCAGCGTACGCGTAGCTAGTATTGTACGCTTCGATCCATCCAGCGCAGCGTACGCATAGCTAGCTAGATATAGAGCGGTGACCGGGTATTATTAGAAAACAAATTTTTCTTTACTTTTGCCTTGGATTTAGGTCTATATTGTTTTGACTTTTGGATTTTATAATGAAGCCAGGAATTTATGGATTTTATTTTTACTCAAGGCAAGTGGAATCCCCTGGACTTTTTGGTAAGCCTGCAAGGTCCTAACTTTCCATTTTCTAGTACCAATAACTCTAGATCTAACTCTCGTAGACTCTAACTTTAGATCTAAACTTTTGTTTGTTTTGATTGTCATGTGGGGCTATTTCATATAACAAATAATGCACTTGACTGTTGTGCATAACGTAAATGCAGTGTACGTTCAGTTTCTTCAGATGGTGTGCACTGTGAACTCGCCGCAACGGCTCGTTGCACAGAGGCGGCACCAATCTGTAGAAACCTCACGTGCACTGCATTCTCCGCTATTGCACGCTGGGCCGTGTGTTATTTGTATAATATCAGAAACTGAAGCTTCGGTCTACATGCAGCCTAGCCCAAATTTTCTGTCTCTTTCGTTCGTTAGCCTCTGATTTAGGTAGGGTCAGCTCCTCTCTTTAGAGCCAGAAGCCGACCATAGGCGTAAGTGTTCACGATCGGTTTTACGTTTCTGTACACCAAACTGATGCCTAATTTCAATATTTTACACGATGCATATCCGATAGGTTTCATTTGTAGATTATAGGCCTAGGCAATAATACATACTTTCCACTTAACAACTTGACTGAATGGTCCATTTTCAGGATATTATGGGTCAAAATCAACAACCATGTTGAAAATATTGCAACCGTATTTTAAACTCTCGCTGCGCATGACGTCATCTAAATTTCATCCCTAGTCTATGCGCAAGGCGAAATGATTATGAAGGAAAAACTTTGCACGAGCTATGAGCTCGTAATGACGTTATCACAGTTTTACTTTATAATCACTGTGACTTGCGCGTAGACTAGTGAGTATAAGGGATGAGATTTTAGTACCTGAGATTTAGATGATGTCATGCGCAGCGAGTGTTTAAAATACAGCTGAAATATTTTCAACATGGATGTCGATTTTGACCCATAATTTCCTGAAAATGGACCGATTTATTCAGTCAAGTTGGTAAGTGGAACCGATGTAGACTCTATTATAGCCTAGATCTATCTAGAGTTCTAGGCCTAATTTACAGATTAAAATAAATTGGATAGATCTAGTCTATGCATCCGGTAAAATATCGAAACTAGGCATTACTTTGGCCAAGTTTGGTGTATGAAGGGGTGACCAAAGTTCACAGACATTTTAGAAGATGTGATAGGTCTATTCGATCTATGATTTCTCATATTCTACACAAATTTATTTATTTCAATTATTACCAAATGGACGGCAAAGTATTTTACTACAGATTGGTTCAACTAGAAAATTGATTGTCGAAGTATTTCAGAGATATCGCGATCTAACAATTTGATGTCCGATCGTTCGTGCGCACTGCATCTAAAAAAGTCATAAAAACAAGGGGACCTAACTTCACGCACGGGGGTTTATAGTTGATTTATCAAAAAATGTGATCCATCAAAAAAAAGGTAAAATTTGCAAGGCAAGATATCATACAATCAGTTGGTACCACTTTTTACTTACAATTTTGAAAAAATCTGCTCTCAAATTAAAGATTTTCAGACCCTGGGCCTTATCGGTAAGTTGATAATTTTTCGGAACGGATGCAAAAGATTGCAAAATTTGCCGATCTTTTGTCAATATTTTCACAATTTCGTACCCAAATCCAAAAAAAAATTAATCTCTGGGTAATTTAGGTTTTGGTGATATCAGATTTTCGAAATCTTACTGATTTTTTGAGATAGCGATCTAAGGTCACACGCGAACTTTGGTCACAACACCATACAGAAACGTTAGTCTATATACCGAACGTGAACTTACGCCTATGGTCGGCTTCTGGCTTTAAAGAGAGGAGCCGACCCAACCCAAATCAGAGGCGAACAAAAGAGACAGAAAATTCGGGCTAGAGCCTAGGAGGATATTCTACGTAGAGGTCTACATGCACTGATGCAGCCTAGACATCGACCTAGGCCTATATAGGCTAGACCCTACTCTTCTTACATCACAATGATGTAGACCCCTCTAGTTATTACACAACCTCCTCCCTCCACAAATGGCAGTAATCATGGAAGAATCCTTGATCGATGAACAGGCTTAGACCTACTACAACATCGTGTATTAAAGTAGCCTAAAGTAAGTAGGTCTAAGTAAGGACTAGGCCTTGGCCCAGGCCGGTACTTAGCCTAGACTATTTATTTGGTAAACAAATCATTTTTAAAGTTTAAACTTCTGGGGAGATTCTCCATTGTAAAACCATCTTTGCCATATCAGTAAAGACATTAACACAATTATTTCAATAATCTTACATTATGGAAATGACGATATTTTAAGAATAGAATAACATTAACAAACAAAAACATTAACAACGGGTGGGGGTGCGCAGTCCGCGTCCGTGCATAACGTATCTTTACCATGTTTATATACCGTACGCACCTTTCTTTGGTCCCCGATGCTGCCGCGGCTCTTTGCCCGACTTGGTGCTCTGCTCCCGCTCCGAAGCAAGTTCTTCTCGTTGTTTTCCTTGTCCAACTCTGTCTCTTCATTATTGCCTTCATCTTCAACAGTAATGTCTACCTCCATAGACATATTTAATTCTCACTGGAAAGTGAATTATAAAGTAATGTTGGTATTTTTATCGTAGTCTTTTCTGCAATGTCCGGTTGCTACGTACGCTGACATTCTAGGCTAGCTCATCGCCGAAACAGAATTTGGAGCACATTCGTAGAGCGCCCTCTCGAAAAATATGGAGACAACAGAATTACATTAACGGACTTTCATTTATTTATTTTAGTGCAGAGGATTATGTGGGTAAAAAGACTTTTAACGGGGGATGCAAACATGGGATGGAAACAATATTTTAATTATTTAACTAAAGATGCTGGAGGAATTTTGATATTTTATAATAATGCAACCGTAGGTATATCTGAATTAGTATTACCAGCATTTTATAGAGACATGCTGGATGTTTGGATGGCTACGAGAATATTTTTGTTAAAGGAAAGTGTTTCTAGGAGGAATGAGATTATCTATAATAATAGATTTGTTTTTATCGATGGTCATGTTCATTTCGATGAGGGATTATTTAACAAAAATGTTTATAAGTTGCATCATATTGTTGATAAGGAAGGTAATATAAAATCTAATGAGGAATTTCAAAGAAAAGGTTTAAATAGTTTAGAAATTAGTAAAATACAACGTATTTTTCTTGGCATCCCGTCTTCATGGAAACAATTTTTAAATAAAAATACTCACTCAAATATAGATAGGGAATTGGATATGGATATTATTATGTTTGAAAAGGTATATATGTTAGATCAAATAACCTCAAAAATTATATACGCTTTTTTATTAAATAAGAAAGTAGAAAAATCATATGCAGAACGACATTTAGAACAGACTTATAATATTCATGGAAAAGATATACAATTAATATTTTTAAGACTTAGAAAGTGCACATTGAATAGTAAGCTTAGAGAATTTCAATTTAAAATGCTTTATAATATTATATATACCAAATTACATTTATATAAATTTAAAATGGTTAATAGTAATTTATGTTCTTTTTGTGGTAAATATGAGGAAACTTACGAGCATTTATTTTGTCTTTGTGAGAAAGTAAAACCAATTTGGGAAGAGTGTGGGAATTCATTTAATTTAGTAGAAATTACAAATATAAATTGGAAAGGTATCCATGTAGGGATAGTTGAGTTTAACATAGGGAAGGAACAGTTATTAAATCATATCATAATTTTGATAAAATATATGATATTTATAGATAGTAAAAATAGACAAAAACCACCAACTTATTTGGAGATTAAGAAAAGATTATTAGAAAATAGAAAGGAGGAGAAGAAATTAGCTGGGGACCGAGGTACACTCACATATCATTTTAGAAAGTGGGACAATTTAGAATAGCTTCGTGCAGAATAAATAAAATAAGGAAGGCGAATAGAAGCAATGAAATGGACATGGCTGATATAATGGTCGAGATTCCCGCAAAATGTAGGCATGTTTTAAGTGGGTGTTTGTGTGGGTGTCTGTCAGGCGCGGATCCAGGGGGGGGGCCGAGCGGGCCTTGGCCCCCCCCCCCCGCAAAAAAAAAAAAAAAAAAAAAAAAAGAGAAGAAAGGAAAAGAAGGGAAAGGGAAAAAGGAGAAAAAGGGAAAGAAAGAAGAGGAAGAAGGAGATCGGGGGGCCGAAAAGGCCTTGCCTCCCAGGCTGTTAACCCCACCCCCCCCCCCCAATCAAAAATAATAAGAGAGAAGGAAGGAAAGAGAAAGAAAAAAGGAAAAGAGGAGATACTGGCGTACTAATAGAGGGGGGGGGGGGCTTGGGGGAAATCAAATTCAAACGTGGTTTATTTCTTATTCCACAACGGTGGATTACAAATAATGCTAAAATGACATAATTTCCGAAATTTTTCCTCACTTTTTAGTAAATTATACGTTTGTATGTGTTTGTTGGAAAATGACAAATTCCTAAATTTACAGCCAGGCAAAAAATATGATTCTTGGGATTCCTACATGTCAGGGCCCAAGTTACGGCGGGGATCGAGAGTCTCGAGCCCCCCCCCCCCACTTTTCTTGAAAAAGTATATTAAAGAGAAATAAAATAGAATGAGAGCAAGAAAGTAAGAATAGTTAACTGCCAGTGTTAACAAAATAATGAAGCATCAAAATATGCTCATCTGATCGTGATTAAATGCCTATAAAACCCCTAAGCTTCCAGGGGCTTTGCCCCCTGGATTCCATCTAGGGCCCTACGGCGGGCCCTTAGATGATCATCTGACGGTAATTTAATGCCTAAAACCCCTGATTTTCGGGGGCTCCGCCCCCTGGACCCCACACCAAATAGTGACCTGCCAGTGTCACAAAATAATAAGGTATACAAAAAAATATGCTCATCTGACCTTAATTAAACGCCTAAAACCCCTGAGCTTCTTGGGCCGGCTCCGCCTGAATGCTTATCTGACCGTAATTTATTGCCTTAAACCCCTGAGCTTGCGGGGTCGGACATAGCCTATAATCTAGGCGGAGTGCCGAGCTTTTTTCTTTGCTGCTAGACTAACCTTAAGCAGAACGTCTGATACGGCGAGACTACGAACCGTGAGCCGCGCACCGCCTATAATCACTGGTCTAGCTGAGAGGTTTTTTCGTACGAAAAACTGCCACGGATTCATGGTCGATAATAAAAAAAAACAACGATTAAAGCTAGACCAGTGATTATAGGCGGTGAGCCGCTTCGCGACTCACGGTTCGTAGTCTCGCCGTATCAGACGTTCTGCTTAGGGTTAGTCTAGCAGCAAAGAAAAAAGCTCGGCACTCCGCCTAGATTATAGGCTAGGTCGGACAAGGTATCAAGATGTGTTTATCTGACCGCAGGCGCGTAGCCAGGGGGGGGGGGGGGCGCCCCCCCCCCAATCGGAAGAGGACGTAGAAAGAAAAAGGAGCAGACAAAGAACATCTTTGAAATTCAGACAAGGATTAAGAGTATAGAGAACGGTACAACGCATCGTTTTCTTTCTCTAATAATAAAACTTCAAAGCCTCGCGCAGGAGGGGAGGGGGAGGGGGGGGGGACTGAATTCAGAGGCGAGAACGGTAATACGAATCTTTAATGATTTAATGAAACGTAAAAGCTTCTGCGCTTCGGGATGGAGGGGGAACTAAATTCCGATGAGGATTATTTTCGAGAACGGTACAACGAATCGTCTTCTTCTCTCATGATTAAATGAAGATTAAAAGCTTCCGTGCTTCCCGCGGGAGGGGTGAACCTGAATTCAGACGAGGATTAAGAGTCGAGAACTGAACAATGAATCGTCTTCTTTCTCTAATGATTTAATGAAACGTAGAAGCTTCCGTGCTTCGCGCAGGAGGGGGGGGGGGGACTGATTTTAGACAAGGATTAAGAGTCGAGAACTGTACAACGAATCGTTTTCTTCCTCTAATGATTTAATGAAACGTAAAAGCTTCCGCGCTTCGCGCGGGAAGAGGGGGGGGGGGGTAACTGAAATCAGACGAGGATAAAGGGTCGAGAACGGTACAACGAATCGTCTTCTTTCTTTAATAGTTTAATAAAACGTCAAAGCTTCCGCGCTTCGCGCAGGAGGGGGAGGGGGGAACTGAATTTAGACAAGGATTAAGAGTCGAGAACAGTACAACGAATCGTCTTCTTTATCTAATAATTTAATGAATCGTAAAAGCTTCCGCGCTTCGCGCGGGGGAGGTACCTGAATTCAGACGAGGATTAAGAGTCGAGAACTCTACATCGAATCGTCTTCTTTCTCTAATAATTTAATAAATCGTAAAATTTTCCGCGCTTCGCGCGGGAGGGGAAAAACTCAATTCAGACGAGAATTATTTTCGAGAACGGTACAACGAATCTTCTTCTTTCTCTAATAATATAATGAAACGTCAAAGCTTGGGAGGGGAAACTCGCCCCCCGACCCTGCGAAATTGGCCGAACTATATGTCTATCGTTGGGTGCTGGCTGACATCTGTCAAGGAATCGACAAGCAGCAGTTTGGCAACCGACAAGGTGTCTCCACTACCCACTACCTTGTTGACCTGCTACATTTCTTGCACAGTAACGCAGACAAGCCACAGACCGTGTCAACTATGGTGATAACTGACTTCACCAAGGCATTTGATTTAGTGAACCACAACATTGCTGTTAGCAAGCTTCACCTAATGGGTACCCGTCCAGCACTCCTCCCATGGATTTGCAGTTTCTTACACCAAAGGGTACAGGTGACGAGATACCATGGTGTTCTGTCAACATCCTTGATGCCTAGTGGAGGTGTGCCACAGGGAACCCGACTTGGCCCCCTCATCTTCCTGGTGTTGATAAACGATGCTCTTGCCACAACGCCGATGGCCAGGAGATGGAAGTATGTAGACGATCTGACTATAGCCGAGAGTCGCAAGATGGGTGATGAAAGCGCAATCGCAACAGCAATAACTGATTTCCAATTGTGGTGTGACGACACTCAACTACGACTAAATCCAGCAAAGTGCAAAGTGATGCAAGTGTCATTTGCACGAGCGGCCATCACCTCTCCACGCATTGAGCTGTGTAACAATGTTCTTGAAGAAGTCAAGGAGTTGAAATTGCTTGGGGTTATTATCCAGGCCAACCTCCGGTGGAATAGTCATGTGAACGAAATCATCAAGAAAGCGTCGAGGAAATTCTATTTGATTAGATCTCTGAAGCGCTTTAATGCTCCAAGGAAAGATTTGCTGACAGTATATACCTCGTACATACGACCTACATTGGAGTATTGCGTACCTCTGTGGCACTCTGGTATCACCGTGCAGCAAAGCAATAACATAGAGATGATCCAGAAAAGGGCTCTTCGCATAATTCTCTCTGACCAATATGTGAGCTACAGAAATGCCCTCCAAAAGACTGAGCTTGCAACACTGAGTGAAAGAAGGGACAAACTATCCTTAAAATTCGCAGAATCGCTTCAAAGAAACTTCAAAGACTGGTTGCCTGAAGCACAAAACCAACGTCTCCGACGTAGCAATAGACTGAGAGAAATCAAATGCAGAACGGAAAGGTTCAGAAACAGTGCTCTGCCTTTTCTTGTTAGGCTGATAAATCGTCATTCCGAGTGAAACATTATTTGATGAATGACTTAATTATGATTATTGATTACACTCAAATTTAAATAGTTATTACAATGAAATGAATT